ATCATTTAGAATTGTTTCTTTCTTTCTTTTATAATAATTCTGTGTCAAATTGCTCATCGCCCCTAGCTACTACGTTTTTCTACCACCTTTCGTGTGTAATTCTTGTTTTCAAAACTTTGCATTTTTTTTGGCAAAATTAGAAGAAAAAAAATTATTTTGACATTTTAAAAAAAAAATTTCCGTTCAAAATAAAAGGTTGCAAATTGGAATAACTGTTCCAAAAACTTGTAAGAGTTATGTCATCAGTTTGCAGCACTTTTGCAATTTTTTTGTCTATGTTATAAACAAAAACACTTTTTACAAAAAAATCATGTTCCGGACTTGCAAATCTGATATAATGTTGAAAATAATACAGTATATATATTGCTTCAAATTTGCAGCGCTTTTGCAATTTTTTTTAAGAAAGTTATAATAAATTTTTATTTTTTGGAATTATTAATATATTCCGGACATCAGAAAAAGTTGCAAAAGTAAATTTACAATTAGTTCAATTTAATAAATATTCCAACAAATGACTGGCCTATAATGGTTGATTTTTGTTTTAAGATTATTCAACGATTATTTTTTTTTCACTTGGTTTCTTATTTATTGTAAATTATAAATTATATTGAACAAATATATTATTCACGACAGATAACTTTTTTTTTCTCCTTGTCTCGTCTGACTATGTCTCCAAATATTACTATTACTTATTGTGTTTTACCCCATGTTAGTTCATAGCACCCTCTCTGTTACCTTTGTACCTTGTACAAGTTTATACAGATCCTTGGATGAGTGGGTTCTATACGCATACGTTGTTGGATCAGCCTGGGGTTGTCCAAAAAAGAGCCTGTCTTTTGTGATCTAGAGCTTCGCATTCGCACAGTATGTGTTTGGCCGTTTTTGGTTTCTTGTGACATAGTCGGCACATGAGTTCCGAATTGTACATGCCAATTTTGTTCAAGTGTCCCCTTACTGGGGCGTGCCCAGTCATGAACCCTGTTATCACTTTCAACTAGTTCCTATTCATAAAGAGTAGTTCTCCAGTTCTTTTGGGACATGGTCTGCCTATCAAAGCTTTTCCATGAGCCTGTTTTGGGGTGCTTCCCCAATAGTTGACGTGTTGTTCCCGAATTCAGTCGTTTATGAAACCCAGGACTGTACTTTTTGGTACTCCTGGGTTTGTGTCTGGTTCCGGTGTTTCTTCTGACCCTCTTTTTAAAAGTTCGTCAGCCTTTTCGTTGCCTTCGATAGTTTTACTCTATTTCGGTCTGCCAGTGTTCTTAGTTCTTCGATTAATTCCGATGCCAGCCTCGACGTAACAGACAGCTTCATTTTTACTTTAATGAATTTACTTTATTTTACAATGATGTTTATGATATATTTTCTTTAATCATGCATGCACTAATTTTAGTAATTTTTCATTCATAAAAGAGGGCAATAACAAGCCGAACTACAAATTCAAAAACACTGATTTTCGTTCATTACCACTACATTACAATCAATCGAACCAATGTATTTTCCATCTACCTAGTTGAATAATCTGAAAAATTATTTGCCTAACAAATATCTGCAAAATCGGTTTACGATAATAATGTGCTAATATAGTATAATTTAAGAAAGTAAATATTTGGTACGCATATTTCGCTGCTCGTCAACATAAAATGTTCATGTTATTTATATGAATAAAAAAAAATGAAAGCAAAAAAATACGTTTATTGCCCTTTTACAAGACAATGCCAAGTAAAGAAATATTTATAAATATAAATTAGTATACTTTTGAAGTGAAAGTGAAAATTAATAATTAAATATAAAGTACCAGTGGCGTAGCCACGGGTGGGATTGGGGGTCAAAACCCCTCATGGAGGAATTCGCGTCACCGTTTCTGCTATCTTATTGACGCTGATCACTATTAACTGTTTGTTAATCCTCCCCAATATTTCTCAGACACCCCTCCCATGAAAAATGTATGGCTACGCCACTGCAAGTGGTATTGGTATGCTTAAAAGAACAAAAAATATGATACTTTTGAAGTGAAAGTGAAAACAAAAGAACCATAATTTACTTTAAATTACAATAGGTACCGTTTTTCTATTGTTACAAGTACTAACTAAAGAACAATGAAAAGAAAGTATGTGAAAACGCCAGGGTCCCGGAATTATCGGAATTATATCAAAGAGGACGTCCGAAAAGCTTTGAATGCTATCAAAAAATGACATGTCCAAAAAACAGGCAGCCCTTTTGTTTAAAATCCCACGGTCTACTCTTGTAAAGAGAACTTTTTGAAGATTCAACAGAAAATACGGTCGCCCCACTATTTTATCTCAGCAGGAGCAGCAGGTATTTTGCAGATACGCTTAGGCATGTTGCCAACTAGGGCTTCCCATTAACCAAAGTGGATATTCGCGCAATAGTTAAAAAATACCTGGATCAACAAGGTAGAATAGTGCGGGTGTTTAAAGACAATTATCCAGGAGAGGATTTTGTAGACAATTTCGTAAAACAGAACAACTATTTTTTTTAAATGCAAACCCTAAAAACATATACAACTATGATGAAACAAACATAGCTGATGACTCTGGCGCCTAGAAGATAATAAATAGTACCAAGGAACTTCAGGAGGGTTGAACGGGTCCAGAACTATTCACGCTCTTGCACTAGCATAATGGTGGCTGGAAATGCAGCTGGTCAATTATTGCCAACAAGAGCGGCAATTTGTATGAAAATTGGTGCACAGGTGGTCCTACTGGAACCATATACGGAAATACAATTTCAGGCTGGTTTGACATAAACCAGTTTGAAAACTGTTTTTTAAAATGCTCCTACCGCATGTTCAATCAACACATAGAAGCAGGAGAACAAACAGTGGTTGTTGGTGATAATTTAGCAAGCCATTTTGCCCCTACTGTTATACAAGCTGCCAAAGAAAACAATATTTATGCCTCTAGATGTGGCTGTTTTCGCCCCCTTAAAAAGAAAGTGGCGCGAAATTTTAGAACGGTGGCGAAAGGAGAGCCGTTATATAGGCAACTTGTTTAAAGAACAAATCTCCCCCCCGTTACTTGGAAAGCTCTGGAATCAGATCAATGAAAGCGTTGACAAAAATCTTAAGTCTGGATTTCGAACCACATGCTTACATCCCATGGTCCCAAACGAAGTTTAAAAAAAATCCCCGGAGCTTTACATACCAGTGAAGAAGTTTCTCGCACTCAAGGAAATACGGGGCACATCAGACGAACAGAAGAAACGCAAAAGAGAAACGAAGTTTAAGCCTGGGCAAGAAATGGACAAAGAACCTACACAGGCAGTTACGCAGGATGCACCTGAGGACATATTATGGAATGAGGATGACGAATTGCCTTGTTTTGTTGCTCAACCGGAGTGTCCGGATGAAAACGTTAATGTCGGTGCTTCGACATCCGGTGTTCCTTTGAAAAAAAAAATACAAAACCCGCTCCTAAACCGCCTAGACCAATAAATATATATTACGAAAAAAGCTTTAAGGAATCGCGACAACAATTGAAAGTGTGTAATATGCTTAACGGAATTTAAAAACTACAACAGCACCCTCGTATGGACCCAGTATTTACGATGTAGAAAATGGATATACGGAATATGCAATGAGGGGAGCAAAGATCCCTATTTTGTGTATTTGCGCTGTGAAGAGGACGTTTTCGGCGATAATAGTGATGATGACGCTATCTTTTATCCTTCACAGCAATAAAACCGCTAAATGTTTTTTTTTTCAAATAAGTTTTTCTTCAATGTTCTTAGTTTATAAGTTTATAAAGAGTGTATAGTTATTTTTTTAGTTACCATTAAGCCTTCAATGTTTTAAGTAAATAAAGTTTATTTTTTACTAAAAGCCTGGTCTTTTGCTTAATTTTTAATTTTTTTTTAATACTACCACCCACTATTTTCCATGGCCACCTTTATACCGGGGCTACTTTGTCACAAAACTGAACAGAACGCGATTTAAATGGTATTTTCATTAGGTGACAAAGTAGCCCCAGACCTGGGGTAACATTGTCGCCCAATTTTTTTTTCTTCGAAAAATAGGTAAAAATATGAAAATTTTCACTGACCATTCGATCCGCAATAGTCCATTTGGTATACTAAAATGTATTTGAAGCAATTGTCCTAATAATTAAGATGGGTATATTAAAATATGTCACAAAAACATGAGAAAGTAGCCTCAGTTGACGGTACTGAAGTGTTACTTTTAATGCCAAGAGATTAAAAAAAGTTTAATACCATTTTTATTATTTATTGCTTAAATTTAATTCGTTCAATGTTAAAGTGCAACAATCTTGTCAGAAGCATAAGGTTTATTTTCATTCAAAATTTAATCTACTCCATGACCTTATATTATAGAAATCTATTTCATAAAAACCCTATTTTATTTAGACTATAATAGTAACTGACTAGAGGTTTCTGAGGTTGAGTTATATCATTGAATATTCTTGGTAACGGAAAAAGCGGAACAAATTAATGGGCCAAATAAAGCAAAGAGGGATTTAAGGGATTAGAGCAGTACCGGACTGGTCGAAATAGATCACATGACACTACTAACAAAAATCACTACGGATATTAATCTGTTTTTCACTCTTTAGAGTTTGTTGTGTTATGAAATAAGTGGGAGTACTAGGTGAAGATTGGTAGCTACAACGTTCACAGATATTTAGATTTTAAAGTCAATTAAGAATATTTCGAAAATAATATTGCAAAAGTTTCTATATAATTATTGTGTTGTTGATATCTTTATATTTTCTTGTTATGATATAGTACTCGTAAAAATATATAAAAAAATTAAAATTGATGAATATTTAGCTTATTTGCACATACTTATCGGTACAGATTTTTATCTCTCTTCAATAAAGATAAGATATTGTAGACCATAGAATGAAGTACACAATATTATATTATAAACAGTATAATTTATGAATGATTGGCTAATCTATTGTCTTTCTAATTATTGCAACTTATATGAATTCTATTTACAAAATATTTTTTTGTTTCAGATAATAAAATAACTGATTCTAAATATCAAACAAATGGAAGTATTAAGAAGAACCCAAAGCAATACCTTAATTATGGCGAAGAGGACCAAATGGTAAATTTATATTTATATAAAAGTACTCAAATAATCTATATTATCTAAATTGTCCTTATATCTAAATATGCTCTTCTTTTGTTTTAATACTTTACACTTTTTCTCGATTATTATAATGGAGATTACAAAAATTTAGAGCCCATTCCTTATTTCTTTATTAACTTAATTATTATACAAAAATAAATTTTACCTTAACAGTTTTATAACATTGGAATATAATTGGAAAATGTCTGTGAAACTGGATATTCATAATCAATGTTATTCCCTTCCAAAACGTTTTTTTATTATTTGTTAAGCAGTTTATGTCATTTTCGATTAAAGAAAAATAAAATATGGAGGGTAGAAATATTTTAATCAAATAATCAGGACTTCAAAATATTAATATTGGGTTAAATGTTCTTACTAAGGTGTTAAGAGCAAACCGAAACCCTTGAAAATTTATAATTCATTCTCAGCCTTTATTTTTAGTCCGTTTTTTGTGAAATTTTTAGGAAATACCAATAATAACAAAAACTAGGACCTTGAATTTTTTGTAAGCCTTTGATAAGTATATATTCTGAAAATTTAAAAAAAAATTCAAAAAAAAATTTCCTCGCCATTCTCTATTAAACACTCTATACACTTTTAAACCTATGAAAATTTCCTCCTTTTTTTTTAATAAATATCTAGTAGTTTTTAAATAAGATGATTCCCCATCTTTTTCTAAACGTCTCTGTACAGTGCTGCTTTATCGTTGCATACATTTAATTGTCCGTATTTTTAGATTGCTTAACTTTAACATCCTGTATATCATTAACCCATCATAGCAAAAAGCTATAATTTAGGAAAATTATCTTTTACAGACTGGTTAATACGCCAGTGAAGAAATATGTATACCCTTGAAAAAGTACTTTTTATTTAAAATGTTCTTGACCTAGTTGTGGTATCTATTTAAACTACTGGACAACAATTTAACACAGTAAGCTCCGAAAATTATTATTTTATATATTAAAAATACTACATACCAGGGGTCTATAGAAGCGGGGGAAGCACCGCTTTCCTACACTTTGAGATTTAAAAATAAATATTTTTCCGTTTACAATGCATAGAAATTAATATTAAATTAGGTACTATATTTTTTCTGAAACATTACGTAAACTTCGTAAATGTACTAACAGTTCATTGGTGTAATGTGTAAACGCACGCACCACCCATGAGAAAATTAATTGTGTAAACGCACACACCATATACTTCAAGTCCGTCGGTGGAAACGCTTCTTGAAAAAGCCGGTTCATCTTCCATTTGATTTCGCTTCGTGTTATTGATCCTGCTTTGCCGCGACAGTAATCAGTCTGTTTCTGCACGTAAAATACGGTCGCCTTACGAATATTGCAATTCGCACCGCGAATCGACGTTTGAGGAAAATCGTAGACTTCAGATAGATTTCGGTTTGTTTTTCGTAGTTGTTTTTCTTTTTGTAAAATGCAGGAACTATGGACTGTGCCTGTAAACAATAATAATGTGGTAAATTGTGTCTGTATTGTGTGCTCTTTATTGAAAAAACCATTTTCAAGTAGAAATTTTGAAGAGAAAACGGACATTATTAATTCTAGTAGACTAAAGGATCTTATCAATTTAGAGACGAAAGTAGAAAAGTCAGCAAAGAAATTTACCAGGCATTTTCACGTAGGGTTCTATGAAAAGTATGAATGGTTAACCGGCTGCAAAACTTTGAAGAAATTGTTTTGCTGGACTTGCCTACTTTTTAATATAGCCGAAAAGACACATTGGAACTCAGTCGGTATTACAGACTTGAATAATGTTCACAAAAGTGTAAAACGACATGTAAATAGCAAATCTCATATAAGTGCTACAATTAAAGAAAAAACATTCGGGACCTATCGCATTGAACATAGTTTGGACAATCATTTAAAAATAAGCAACAAAATTCACAATGAAAGGGTAAAAAAAATAGGGACGTCTTACAACGATTAATAGATGTAACTTGTTTCCTGGGAGAGCATGAACTAAGTTTTAGGGATCACAATGAAGCAAGTGGATTCGCCAATCGAGGAAATTACATGGACCTTCTAAGTTTTTTTAGCAAAATACGATGATACCCTAAAAAATCATTTTATTGATTCGACGACTTTCCGAGGTACCTCAAACAGAATCCAAAATGATTTAATTAAATGCTCTACCGACATTGTGATGGATCATATTAAAAGTGAAATTAAGAAAGCACCTTTCGTATCAATTGCGCTTGATGAAACTACAGATGTAGCAAACTTAAGTCAATTATCCATTGTTGTGCGATGTATTGGATGGCATTCCTCAAGATCGATTCTTAGGATTTTTGGACGTCACTAGCGAACGAACTGCAGATGAATTGTTTAAAAATGTTTGTGACATTATTTTAAGTTTAGAATGTGGTTCTAAGCTTGTTGCTCAGAGCTACGATGGTGCTGCCGTAATGGCTGACCATTTAGAATGCCTTCAAGCTAAAGTGAAAGAGAAGTTTAAACATGCAATTTTCATTCACTGTATAGCACATAGTCTTAATTTGGTTTTATCGCGAAACATGGATAATATTAAAGATTGTAAAGTTTTCTTTTCGACGCTAAGTGGTTTGGCTTCCTTCTTTTCAAAGTCATCGAAAAGAACTCGCGCTTTGGACATTCACGTTCAAAAAAGGTTTCCAAAAGTTGCCCCGACGTGATGGAACTACAATGGACGTTTAGTGCAAACAGTGTTTTAATACCGTGATTCTTTGATACACTTTTTTCAAGACGTTTGGAAGAATAAAGAAACATGGGATGCTGAAACTGTTACTGCTGCTAAAGGGTATTTGCACTGGCTCAAACAAAACTTTGATTTCAATTTTTTGCTCAACATTTTTGAAAAGATTTTCCCTTTTACTGACTTTTTATTCGACATTTTACAAAGTCAAATGACATTGGCTTTTGCATTAAATAAATTGATGATTTTAAAAATAAAATGAATAAAAAACGAGATCAGTTTGAATACTTTTGGAATAAGACTCAAAGCATTGGCTTAGAACCTGAAAGAAAGAGAATTGATAATGTTGGCGTCATAGATTATAAGCCGCAATTTTTGATTATATTTTACAACAAATGAAATCTCGATTTCAAAACTTTAACGAATTATATAATTTTGTTGTATTGTGCAATTTTAATATTAGTAACTACGATTCATCAAAATTTCCATGAAAGCTTTTAATTCACTAAAATTAAATTATGGAAATTTTTTCGATATTCCAGCATTAAAGTCCCAGTTAAATGTTGTTTATGAAACAACTGAAATTAGTGATAGAAAGACGCCCATCAATGTGTTAAATTTTCTTATAACAACTGGTTTAAATAAGTCCCTTTGTGAAGTTCTCAAGTTGTGTGAATTATTGCTAACCATCCCAGCAACAAGTGCGTCAGTTGAGCGAAGTTTTTCAGCTTTAAAGCGCATTAAAAGTTTTATACGAAATTCAACTAGTGAAGACAGACTCTCTAATTTAACCCCTATCTAATATCCATTGAAAAAGAGCTTGTTAAACAGTTATCAGAAAATCCAAAATTTTACGACGATGTTATAAACAACTTTTCAGTCATTGAGGATAGGCAAATAGATCTTAAGTATAAATAAATGTCAACTGCTGTGTCAACTGTGCGAAAAATGCTGGAAAAATAAAAAAAAAACTTCAGTTAAATGTTTTTTTTTACGTTTAAATAAACCAAGGAAGCTTGTCAATGGTAAGTTTTTTTATAGCTTCTAGTACTAAACTAGGTAATAAAGTAATAGAAACACTTGAATATCCGTAGTACTGAGGAAAAAAAGCAAGATTTTGACAAAATGGTGAATGCGCCGCCAAAAACTTTCGCCTGCGGCGCTGTGCTTACCGGTCTGCTGTATTTTTATACAATCGCTTCCCCTTCTAAAAATATCACAGCACGCCACTGCTACATTCTGGTCCCGACGATATTCTTGCATATCCTCTAAAAATTATTTTATTAAATACTTACCTATATGCCATGTTTCAGATATGTGGAAGAAATTAAAAAACGAAATAGGAATCATGTACCTAACTATTATGGACAAATGAGAAAAATAATTTTCCTACGACCACTTAGGAAAGTTACACATATCACACTATATAGACCTATGGAAAGTGCCCTATATCACACGCGTATGAATAAGAATTTACTTTCCACCCAAGTGAGAATATGCTACTTTCCGCAGTAGCTGTCAGAAAATGTCAAACACATAATTTCTATTTTGATCTATGTAATGTCCATATTAATACTAAAATCGATATGATTGTTAAATTATTGTAAATTAGATCCTAGATATTTATCTTTAACAATTATTTTTAAAATAATTTTAAAATAACTAAGATATATTTGCTTTTTATTCTGGTTAAACACATAAGCGATTAGATCAATCAATTACCGTAAGGCCTGTTAGCTCAGTTGGTTAGAGCATCAACTTTGCAATTTGAGACCGTCCAACGACCGCGATCGAATCCTGGCTGTGCCAGAATTTTTTTTTTTATTTTTTTTTTATTTTTTTTTTATTTTTTTTTTATTTTTTTATTTGTTTAGAAATTATGAAAATTTAATAAATACGATTATTGTTGATTATTTTTTTAAATACATTTTAATTATTATAATAATCTGGTTTTACATTTTTTGATGAAATTATTTTGTGGTCGTAGGAAAAATATTGTACATCACTTGTGTGAAAAGTGATTTTCCACACTCGTAATGTAATATACTATATCTCTACAATTTGTAACTTTTCAACCTGTTATTGTATAGCGATATTAATTTGCGCGTCAAGGGCAAAATCACGCCGCAACAATATGGTTTTGTTCAACAATATTCTACGGTAACTAATCTAGCTAATTTGCAGAGAATATTGAATGTAGAATCCGATGACGGAAACACATCATTCGACCGGTCATAATGGACACCTAAATTAAGATCAATCCTATTTAATGATTTCCATTATCGTAAACAGAATGGCCACATAAATAGTTTAAAATCTGCTAAATACTAAAAGAAAAGTGCCGCAGTGATCGAATTTGTGGCCTCTATTATTTACCTTGTTCATCAACAACATCAATGATGTTATAATGACTGTGATCACGTCTTTGAGCTAATATTAATATAGAGTGAAATGAGTTTAAAACTATTAAAATTCGATACCATGTATTATTATCAAAAATAAGGTCTTAAATATTACCACTACCTCTCCCAGACTTAAACTCTGGATGCGCCACTGATTTACGATATAATCTTCCAAATTTAGATGTAAAATGAGTATGCATCCAGTTTGGAACCCATTATATGAAATTCATCAGTACCAAACGAAAAAGCCATTTTTAAACGTCTCATAATTCTCTTTTTCAAATGCATCTAGTTCGTACATAGTTTATTAATTATCAATAATGCATCTAGGTGTTAATTCTATGAAAAGGCTGTTGCAAAATTGCTGAGACATGCCACCACGTATTGTAGGGGTTCAAAATACGTCGATTGGACCCAATTTATGCAAGGCGTTCCAGCTTTTATTAGACAGGCTGTAACTTTTATAATAATTATCAGAATTAAATGAAATATAGATCATAAATGTATCCATCGCCTTATTTTTATTTTGTGGTATCATTTTGTTTACCCCCATATGCTTGTACGATAGAGAAATATTATTTATTGTTTTTGTTTTAGGAAATTCAAGGATTCATCTACAGTAACATGAAAGGAAACGTAGTGTTATTTTTTTATATTTTAACTCTGGGAATATTGAGGCTGTTTTTTCACTGGTATCCTCATTTACATTTAAAGGCAACTCACGACAGATGTAGCCTCAAGAAAGCCAACAAAGTATTAGTAATAGTAAGTTTCCATTTAAAAACTTGTTATCATATTCCCAAACAAATCACTATACAGGGTGTTTCCGAACTTGGCGTCCAAATTTGTAGGGGTGGTAGTTCGCATAATTTGAGACCGATTCGCAGATTTCTTTTTTCCAAAACATTTAAAATAAAAATAATTAAAAATTAATTAAAAATGTGAAACAGGTACGGTTCTGCACAGCGATCGGATTAATTATTATTATTACTGAACGCGAGGTAAACAATCCAACAAAGCAATACGCACTAGAAAAACAATCGCTACGTCTTTCGATACCGGCCGGGGACTCTATTGCGCTACGCGCTCAGGGTAGGACCCGCTTTTTGATTTTTTTTATAATGGCTCTATTTTGTTTATTATAATTTTTTTAGAAAAATGTAATCTGCCAATCGCTCTCAAATTATGCGAACTACCACCCCTACAAATTTGGACGCCAAGTTCGGAAACACCCTGTATGTATTTATTAGTATACGTCTAAATACAATATCTGATTTTTTATTTTTTAGGATATTTATAGAAAGTTTAAGTCTTATTTTGTAAAGGAAATCAAAACATTAGACATAAGTGGGTATGTAACATGGTCAAATATCTAATTATTATGGGAACTAAAGCCTTTAATTTTAGAATTCAAGGAAATCAAGACGAAAATATTTTGGAATGTAATCTTTCTGACGGTAGACAAAAAAGTAAGTATCCAACTAAAAACACTAATTATTAAATAATACAAAAAAGTCCGTAACTATCAGTGGAATATATTCTATACTTATTTAGAGAGTAGAGTTATAAAAGATATTAAGTCAATTTATAAATTAACGAGTAAAAATCATAATAACAAAATTTAAATTTTATAATGGAAACGAATTGTTTCGAACTGTGAAATGCGCTCTCCTCTCAATTTTAGCAAGGGACGGTAGAAATTGTTCAGTTGGGTTTATTTTCAGGTTTGTCTTATTTTATATTTGACAATAAATGTGTATCTAAAATTTCGGAAAAACCATAAATTCCTATAGATTTTTCAATTAATCATATACAAATAAAATAAGATAACATGTAAAGCTATGCAAAAACTTTTGTGGTTTTTATTCTTTTTTTATTTTTTGTTTTAGAGCTTTATCACGCACGAATTATAAAATGTAAGAAGCTGTTGTATGTGTGGGACGAAGAAACTGAAAATTTTCTAAAACTAATGGGATTTGACAAAGGCATCACAAGAAGGCAATTACATTCTTGTAAGGGACAAAGTAAAGAAAAACAGATCATTAAGTAAGTTACAAAACCTACTTTAACTAAAATCTGAATGCAGAAGTGTGGTTTCCATAACCTTCTAGAATATTGATGAGTTGGTAGATAAGGACAATTCTATAATTTGGTATATAAGTTGGTAGATAAGTTGTAAATAAGTTGGTAGATAAGTTGGTACATAAGTTGGTAGATAAGTTGGTAGATAAGTTGGTAGATAAGTTGGTAAATAAGTTGTTAAATAAGTTGGTAGATAAGTTGGTAGATAAGTTGGTAGATAAGTTGGTAGATAAGTTGGTAGATAAGTTGGTAGATAAGTTGGTAGATAAGTTGGTAGATAAGTTGGTAGATAAGTTGGTAGATAAGTTGGTAGATAAGTTGGTAGATAAGTTGGTAGATAAGTTGGTAGATAAGTTGGTAGATAAGTTGGTAGATAAGTTGGTAGATAAGTTGGTAGATAAGTTGGTAGATAAGTTGGTAGATAAGTTGGTAGATAAGTTGGTAGATAAGTTGGTAGATAAGTTGGTAGATAAGTTGGTAGATAAGTTGGTAGATAAGTTGGTAGATAAGTTGGTAGATAAGTTGGTAGATAAGTTGGTAGATAAGTTGGTAGATAAGTTGGTAGATAAGTTGGTAGATAAGTTGGTAGATAAGTTGGTAGATAAGTTGGTAGAAAAGTTGGTAGATAAGTTGGTAGATAAGTGGGGTAGATAAGGGCAATTTTATAATTTGAAGATATACAATACGATGTTTCCAAATATAAATGAAAATTTAAGATTAACTACCTACCTCGGTCATTGTAGTTCCAGGCACTGTAGTTCAATCGTGACTAAGTATAAGGACAGTAATTACTTTTTAATGCATTATTGCTCTAAAAAAGTTACGTTATTTCTTTATTCATTATTATGCTGTCACAGTCGTAGGCGACATTTTCACTGAGATATTAGTTAAATTTAAATTTAAATTTAAATATTAAGTAGGTATGTTATCCTTAATTCTTTTTGAATTAAATAATAAATAATTAAAAGTTGTTGACCCATCTTTAACTGGCTGACTTTTTATGAATTGAAGTAGGTACCTTTTGAAAATCACTAATATTCTCGTTTTGAAGTTTTCTGAAGAACTGACGAATGTTAGGGTGTGTCCATTAATTACGTGACCTCAAATTGGGGAGAGGGTCCGGCAAAATCCGACCAAATCTTATTTAAATGGAAAGGGGTCAATAGAAAACGTCAATTTTTTAATTCTTAGAGTTATGCGTTTGTTACGTTTCTTTATTTTAAAACAGTTTAATTGTTCTGTTTTATGTTTACTAAATACAGTGGCGCAGCCAGAAATTTTTTATGGGAGGGGTTCTATTAACAAAGTAAAATATTTCGAATACGATTGTTTTTATTAAGAAGAAAACTAAATTAAAATAAATATTTTTTTATAAAACGATAAAAAAGTAAATAAAAATAATTATTTTTTTATAAAACGATAAAAAAGTGAATAAAAACAAACAGTTAATAGCAATCAGCGCCAATACGACGGCGGAAACGGTGACGCGAAGACCCTCCATGGGGGGTTCTGACCCCCAAACCCTCCCGTGGCTACGCCACTGACTAAATACACCAACTTATTTTATAACAAATTAATTTGTATTCAAAACTAAACTGAATTATATTTACTTTAACAATTTTTCTTTACTTGAGAACATTTATCTTTAAAACTAACTCAATCAGCAAAACATTCCATTTATATACAAAAATATAACGACCTAAAAAATCCAGTAGGTACTGTCTCAAAGAATCTCGATTCTTGCCTAGACTTTCTCGAAATATTTCCTCCATTAGTCGGCCCGCGCGCAAAGAACCTTCCAGTAACTTTTAGAGTCTCGAGGCGGGCAGCGAAAGCGGAACACAGAGGAGGTGCAGAATGTTCAGATAAACAAATGAGTAATAGATAACTAACTATCCGGATCTGTTCAAAGCCAGTATGAACCGTTTTTTCTATTACTTATATTTCTCCAAAATTTTCTCACAACTGTCAACAAGCACTAGCGAACTGTCAGTTTTGTTTGTACATTTTGTATGATTTTATATTCCTATGGCATATTTTTAAAGTTTTTCTAGTTTCTAGAATGTTTTTTCTAGCGATTTTTGTTAGTTGTAAGTCTAAAAATTGATATTCAATGTTTGTCAGCCCTAAAATATACATTTGGAGAAGTTCCAAGTCGTTTTAAAGGTAAGTAAATAAAAAGCATGGGCGGTACACCTATATTGTAGAATATTATTAGTATTTTTTTACGCAGGTTTCCTACAGACTTTAAAGCAATGGAACCTTTGTTTTAGATGCATTTTTCTTTACAAAATATTTACAAAAGAATCCTTCGGATTCAGATAAAAACACTATTTGATACGCTCATGGAGACCAAAACTCTCAAAAGTTCGTATATACTGGCTTCAAACAAAACCATTTCGGTACCATTTCGGTAGGCGCGACAGACGACCGCCGACGCGACATACGACCGCCGACGCGACCGAGAAGTGTCGCTTCACATCTAAAATACATACAATTATATGAAACACATTTCGCACGGCGCGACACGAGAAGTGTCGTCAAGACGACACTTCCTGGAGACACTTCTGAATCTGCCTCGGGGCAAAGGTTTGCTGCGTGTCGCACTCGGGGTCACTGTCCTCGAGCATCGGTTCATTTTGAGGGTGATTAGGATGGAAATTTCTTTCGATCTAGGCAGCGTTGCCAGATTTTGGAACAGAATGGGTAAAAAAAAACCGTAGATCTAGAAAAAAACAAGTATATAAGAAACGAAAAATAAACTTTTTTCGACCCAAATTAGAAGGTAAACAAAGAATAAAAACAAATAATAACATTTTTAATATATACTTAAGGTACGGAAACAAAAAAAACAATGAAAAATAATAGGTACCTCCTTCTTTTAGATCAGTCTGAATCAGATAATTCAAAATCGTAGTGTGCATGTTCTTTTTATGATGCCCTATTAATTCTTTGTTTTATTTTAAATAAAAACAATGATTATCTTGATGTTTTTTTATGGAGCCAACCTAGAGTAGTGGATGCTTATTACGCTGCCTTTACTGCAGAAAATTTACTAGAGAAAATATTCTTTAACCATTTACTGAAGAATGAGGCAAACTTAATAAATTAAGAACAAAATTTGCTAGAGACAAAAACACTGGATCTACGTAAAAACAGTAGGTCTGGCAACGCTGATCGTTCCCTCGAATGGTTAATTGCAAGTGTCGTGCGACACTTCTTCAAGCTTTCTAAATGTACGGAGCGTAACATTTATGCATCTGTCGTCCTACTCGACCTTGGGGTCGTCTCAGTGGTCTCTTGTCTCCTGGCGCGCCTACTGAAATGGTACCTTTAAACGGCGCCCGAGTTATCTATATTTTATTTGTTTATCTGAAGCTGAACTGCGTAAACAAAGATTAGGGCCGGACTAGTTGACAATCGCTTGCACGACATTGTCCCTTTCTTAAAAGATAGTTTTGCTTAGAACATTTTTTGTGGATTAACTCCATACGAGATAGTGGAACTAGAGTTACTCGGATAGGTTTTTTTTACTTAAGTATTTCGACCATAAAATAGGTACACTTCGCGTCATATAAAAGTGGTACAGTTATTTTTCCCAATGTAAAATCAACTTTACTTTTGAAAATGACAAACGGTAAGATTTGTCAAGTTTGTCAAATCGCTTTGTTACGATGTCAGATCGTTTGAGTAAGTTTGATAAAATGCGAAAACCACGATTAACAGCTCTGCAAAAATGGGACAACAATCAAATTGTAAACAGAGAAAGAGAGACTGGAAGACCATTTATAACTATAGCACAACAAGATGAAACATTTACTAATTATTTACGGCAAGATAGGCAAAAGTTGAAACTTTAATGCTTCAGTAACAAAAGTGTTAACAATAATTATTAGAAAAACTGATTTAAAGAATTGTGCAGCCGAGCCTCCTCTAAAATTAGTCCAGTAACTGAAGGGACCAACCTGTCATTAAGTCGGTCCAGATTTCCGCTGTGGCTCAACTCTTAGGTCTCGGCGGTCGCTTCCAAGGTCGAAAACTTTTACCAACTCTGCTGCGTCAGAAAGGGCCCAAAATGGACCCTAAAACTGGTTTCCCGACAATATCTTCCACAATATGCAAATTAGAGAATTTTTGTTTAGATAAAAAAGAAATATCTTATTATTATCTACAAAAATGGTCCCTATCATTTTTGTCGGGAATTCGACAGGTTTCGAGATAACCGCTTTATCTCTATAGCAATGCTGATTAGCTTGTAAACGGGTGGACAAATTGTTTCAGAACTCGGTCAAAAATTGATATTTTTCGATAACTCAAAGTTCATTACAATGGGAAATCCCATAGGTATCAATCCATGTGCCTTGAAGCCCCTTATTTCCTGTCAAGAACGTTGAAAAAGGGGTCAAAGTTGCGTTTTCCCACTATTTTGGACCACTTTATAGTAATTCATTCATATTTTTTTTCTTTAAATAGTTTTTTATCTCATTTTTGTTTTAAATGGGATCTTGAGATATCTCGAATGATCTCAGAAATTTTTTTCCAGTATCTTCCTGGCGTTTTAAAACAAAATTGATTTGTTTATTTGCAATTTTCATACGTTTTCGGAGTTCTAGAAATCTTTGAAACAAGCAGTAATTAAAAACTCATATTTCATTATATTGTTATTCAATGCACGCCATTTTAAGGCTTAGAGTGTCTACTTTTCGAATGTTTTTTTTTTTATTAAAGTTGCCCCATTTTCCAAAAATCGGGAAAATTGATCACACCGGGGAATACCGGACTTTTTTTTTAAATAATTCTTGTTCTCCGCTGTTCATTTTTTGAACATCAATACCCAGACCGAAGTGAAGCTGATATTCTCACCTTTCCATTTCTATCAATTGATATCCGTATGTGAGCGTGGTTCTTAACTGTTCGTTAGAATTATCCCTCCCATTTTTACTCTCTCCGCCTGAGACCCATCATAACCTAACCACGTGTACCCACGCGCCACGCGCTCACCTTAATCGTCTGCTTTTGTTGGTATACAATCTCTGTTGTTTTTGGAGTCGTTATTGTCGTTATTGTCGGTATTATTGATAGTATTTTAAAAAAATATTGATAGTATTTTATCATTATCAATTAAGTTGTTAAAAAAAAAAAGAAGTTTTTAAAGTGAAAAATTCGACGTCATTCTTGAATTTTCAAGAATTCTTGAAGATGATTGTTTGTCAGTGCGAGAAGAATTGTTCATGTTTGAAAGCCGGACTGAAATGCTCGCCTGTCTGTGGTTTGTGTCAGTCGACACAATGTTTTAATTATAACAAAAATGAAGGTATTTTCCCGGAAGAATTAGAGATGGATCGAGACCCAGAAGGGGTTGAAGGGGAGGAGGATGAAATAGCTGTCGAGACAGCAACACAGGGGTTGGAAAAACAGGGGGAAGGGACGCGTGGAGGAGGGGAAGGAATAGAGCAAGAGCAAGATGATGAAGAGTATGATTCTGATGACATTGAATGGTTTAACGTATGATAAATTATAAGCATTGCTATGTATTTCGTTTTTGATAATAAAAGAAATTTTTTAGAAACTTTCTTATTTTTCTGAAATTCTGGACCTATATTGTTCCGATAGAAGTTGGCGAAAATTTTGCAAAAGACGCAGAAAATATAAAGGGTCTTCTCGGGTCAATATTCATCACACTCTAAAACTAGTAACCCACTACTAGGCAAAGCGCCGGGATTTGAGACTGCCACATGAAAAAATTTTTTTTTGCACTTTTCTATTAAATTTTGCAACGCAAATTACACAGAACATTCGGCAATGTAGATGAGATACCCCAAGCGCTACTTTACAGAAAAAATCCCGTAGAATCCGCCAATAATTGTCGAAAGATCGATTGGTGCCCGGATTTCCATTCATAGGCCCCATAATTTAGTGAGCAGAGGTACGCCGCTGGCGCCATCTACAATTAGTCTCCAAAGTTTAAAACATGAAAATCAATGTATTCCCAACTTCCTCGAGCGAAAATTCAGTGAGAAACTAACATTTCTATTCATTGCAAAAATTCGGGCTTTTTTGAAGGCCCTTTTTGCAAAAATATTCGTCTTGCAAAAAAAAAGGGTAGGGACCATTTTTGTAGATAATGATACGATCTTCATTTTTTATCTAAACAAAAATTGTCTAATTTGTATATTTTGGCAGATATTAGCGGGAAACCATTTTTTCGGACTTTAGGGGGCCATTTTGAGCCCTTTCCGACCCAGCAGTGTTGGTAAAAGTTTTCGCCCTTGAAAGCAACCGTCAAGACCTAAGAATTGAACCACAAAGGAAATCTGGACCGACTTAATGACAGCTTTACATATTTTCAGGTCTTCAGTTACTGGACTAAATACACATTAGCAAAGTAAATACACTAGAGTTATCATCACCTTAAATTTGATTATGTTTTAAATGAATCAGTAAAGCTTGGCAGAAGATTACAATAAATTATTAATAATGGAGCTATATATTAATTATTTATTTCATCGGTTTCGAATTGTCAAATGTACCTATTTAAATTTAAAACTTATTAATTTTAGATTGCATTATATTTTTAATTTTTCCATTTCGTTTCATTGCTTTACAAAGTTTATTTGTATCACTGCATCTACTAATATTTTCGTTGTGCTGTCAACGTTGTTCTAGAAATTATAACCTAAAAAGTAGTTTAACTTTGACTTTTAAAAGATCAATTTACATAGCTTGAATAGAACGATTTTTTGTTATGAGTTGTACCACTTTTATATGACGCGAAGTGTACATTAGACATGTATGGAATTCACATAAGATAGCAATATTATTTTCTGTTTTATTTTTTAGGAGGATAATATACGGAGGCAATGAAATATCAGTTCCAGTTCAAACAATAATAACACTATTAGTGCTCGAAGCCCTTACACCATTTTATATGTTTCAATTATTTAGCTTATTAGTATGGCTTTGTGAAAGTTACTATTATTATGGTATAGCTATTATAATTATGTCAGTGGTTGGTATTTCTACATCGATTCTGCAAACCAGAAGGGTAAATTTACTTTTTATTTATTTCATATACTTATGTCATTATCTATATAGGTAGAGTTCGATTACAAGAAGAACACAACTACAGAGAGAGAAAGTCTAAGTATGTAACTCTAATTCTTAATTGAAGTAAAATATTCTTTATTTGAATCCTGGCATTTTTAAATTAACATTGCCGTGTTCAATTTTTGAATCAGAAGCACCAACATTGTTAATTTCAAAACAAATTAACGTTTTTTTAGCATGCGTACTTAAACATTTCTTAAATAAAGATTGTGACATAATTGGCTCAAAAACAAGCCCGAAAATGGTTATAAATAAATATTATTACTTATCGGGTTTTTGCTCTGGACCCTCGGTATATACTACGTCTACTAAAGTCGCGAGCGTGTTCTCGTTAAAGGAATCATTTTCTCTCACCATACGAGACTGTCAGGAAGCAAATATTTCATTGCGAACAAAAAAGCAAAACCAATCGACGCGCCACTTATTTTCGATTTTACAGGTCACATGACTGTTCACTCCGCCGGGACATAGCATAACTTATTCATTCCAATGCAATATGGTCTAACGATTAGCTTGGGCCAGAGGTGCAATACCCGGTAGGTGACCCAGCATTGGAGGTTGCTTTATCTTTTGGTTATTATAGGCTTTACCAGCACAACCGCATACTTAATGATCGAAATACGAGCCCCTTCCCATTTCAGTTGACCCAACTATTGAAATTTAGGAAATTCGTATTTAAAGATTAAAAATATAAATATTGCATGAACTTTCCAATTTTTATTCATTGAACAATATGTTTAATATAGTTTAATCACAAAAAATATGTAGAAAACATTAAAATATTTATTTAACATAAAATTTAAAAAAAATAAACAAATAGTTGGAATCAAACGTTAATCAATTTTAAAGTTTACAATTGAGTAACGTCACCTTTATTTTTTATTACAGCTGAAATTCTTTGCGGCATGGTATTAACTAAGCTTTGGCAAAATTCTGGTGTAAACGAATCCCATATATCTTGAAGTTTTTGTTTAAGTTCAGGTATTGTTCTTGCAGGATGTTTTCGAAGTACCTTTTTCATCTCATGCCATAATGTTTCTATTGGTGATAAATCAGGACTACTAGAAACCCATTCCAAAAGTGGAACACCGAAGTCTTTCATCCATTTTAGAGCTTTTTTGACGTGTGACATCCTGCTCCATCCTGTTGATATACAAAATCTTTCCCTCATGTCAAATATAATTCCATAGTCGATAAAAGTGATTCCTCCAAAATGTCCAAATATTTATTTGTATTTACAATTCTTTCAATAAAATGTAGTTTCCCTATTCCTTTAGATGACATGCTGCCTCAGACCATGACCGATGCGGAAAATTTTACTTTTCTTTTGAGACAGTCTGGATGGAAGGCTTCATGTTTTTTGCGAATAACTCGACTTCTGCTATCTCCAACACAAACTTCGAATCGGGCCTCATCACTCCATTGTATTGCATCCCATTGATGAGAAGTCCAACTCATATGTTCTTTTGCCCATCTTAATCGATTTTTTTTCTGTTTCGCAGTTAGTAGTGGTTTTTATTTAACCCGTAACAATATTGTCAATTTTAAGCAAATATATTTGATTGTTTTAGTGTCTTCAATCTATGTTTTTTTATTGTTTTTATTATTATAAATTTACTTTGTAAGTCCCAAATCCCAGTTTGCGAGCTTCTCTATGACATGAAGAAATCGAAATTCGTCTTCCAACAGCATCACTCCACTGAGCCCTTAATTCAAGGTAATTAGCACGACGGTTGGTTTCAATAATTCTTCTCAATGCTCGTCTATCGGCATTTGTAATCTTGCTTTTTCTAACATGACGGGGCTTTGGGCTGATTGAACCAGTAGTTTTGTATCTTTTATTTATATATCTTACACTATATCGTGATAAATCTAATATATTTGCAATTTTCGAGTTCGATTTTCCAGAATTGCAATGTTTTATAATAAGAAAACTTATTTTTTCGTCAATGATTTTTCCTCTGTCCATTTTATTAGACAGAATTAGCTTAAAAGAGGTTAAATTGTCTTGTGACAGTTATTTGCGTTATTGTTTGTTATTTTTTCAATGCTACCTTCGATTTTGGTTTATTTTCTAACGAATTGAATTCAAGTTGAAATAATGCAATAATGCTCCATGTGTTAATAAATTTAAAAATAAATAAAAAAAATTGATGTTTTCTAGTTCTAGTTCTAATATAATTCTAAATTGATGCAATGGTAATTAATTTATGATTTAAAAAAGTATGTAATTTTTAATACTTTCTTATTGTCGTTATATAAAGAAAATATCAATAGGTGGGCCAACTGAAATGGGAAGGGGCTCGTACATTCTTAGATTTAGTTTTTTCTAATGTTAAAGACTGTGATGTAAGTAGGGCTATTGATCCTCTAGTTAATTTAAGTTTTCATCATATAAGTTATGAATTTACTATAGCACTTTCTACAAATTCTAAGTCTAATGATCTCGTATATAATTAATTTTATTATGATTTTAGAAACGGTAACTACATAGAACTAAATAATTATTTGGCATCAGTAGACTGGAGTGAATGCCTAAAAAATATGAATGTTGACGATGCTACTAATTTGTTTTACGAAATCTTGTTAACTGGAATTGCTTACTTTATCCCTCGTAAAGGTACCGTGTATCTACTTTTCCTAAGTGGTTTTCTTCCGATCTGCATAAGTTAACTTTATAAAAAAAACTTGTACATTCTGAGTATAAAAGAGAGCAGTCACATGAAAGTTATCTTAGATTTTCTCAGTTGCGTTCAGAATGTAAGAGGCTCTGTGACATTTGTTTTAATAATTATATTAGGGTTCTAGATGCGAAATTGATAGAAGATCCTAAATCTTTCTGGAAGTTTATAAACAACACACGATCTAACCACAATTTGCCCAGTTCCATGTTCTATGGCAATCAAGAGGCTGTATGTAGCCAAGATATTGCAAATATATTTAGGGACTTCTTTCAAACTGTATACACTATTAGTGATAATACTGATGATGTAACTAGAGACGAGAGCCTTAGCAATAATATAAGGAGTAATGTAATATCAAAATCTTGAATATTCCAAATAAGTTAACATCAGGTCCAGATGGTGTTCCTAACTTTTTATTAAAGAAATGTGTTTGCACAATTGTTTTACACTTATTTTTGCTATTTAACAAATCGTTGGAATGTTCTATTTTTCCTGAGATCTGGAAAGTAAGCAATATTGTTCCTATTTTCAAAAGTGGGGAAAAGAACAACATCGAGAATTACCGTAGTATCTGTATACAATCTGCTATACCAAAATTATTTGATTGGCTAGTTAACAAACAACTGACTTGACAATGTAAAGGCTTAATCTGTTAGGAACAACATGATTTTTCCCATAACAGATCAACTGTTTCAAACTTAACAACCTATCAATTAAATATTCTTCAAAACATGGAAGACAAAAAACAAACAGACTTTTCAAAAGCCTTCCATCGAGTAGATCACAATATTTTGTTAAATAAGTTGCTTTCAGTTGGCTTCAACTTAGGCTTTGTTTTGTGGTGGGAAAGCTCATTGACTGATCGTATTAAAAGGGTAAAAATAGGTTGTTACTACTCAGATACAATTAATGTTACATCTGGTGTACCTCAAGGGGACCATAGCTCACCTCTTCTTTTTCACATTTTTTGTGAATGATATTGTTGGTTGTTTTATGTACAGCCAATGTGCTAAGTTTGCTGACGATCTCAAGTTTTGGAGTAAAGAACATTTGTGATCATGAACTCATTCAGGAGGATTTGAATCGCTTAGTAGAGTGGTGTAATAAAAACAAATTGTACTTAAACGAAAATAAATGTTGCTATATAAGTTTTTCCCGTAAAGCTGTTAGGATAGCAACAAACTATTTTATTAATGATCACCAACTTGAATACAAATCAACAGTAAAATATCTGGGCGTCATTTTTGATGAAAAACTAACATTTGTTGAACATATAAACTCAATCTTTATTAAAGGATCAGAAATGTTAGGATTTGTTATAAGAAATTGTAAATACTTCTCCACTGATGCCACCAGAATGGTCACCGCTCGTTAGTTAGATCCGTACTTGAGTATGGCTCAATTGTGTGGTCACCATTTTTTCAAATTCATTCTGATACTTTGGAAAGGGTACAACACAATTTTTTGAGAGTATGTGCAGTTAAAAGTCAGGATTTCAGATCATGATTATAGTGCTATAGAAAGTCAATTAAATTTGCCTCCTTTAAGGGAAAGAAGAGACATATTTGGCTTAGTATTTATATTCAAAATTTAAAATGGAATTATAGACTGTCCTTCTCTTTTGAGCGAGATTAGCCTAAATGTTCCTATTACCTTGGACTGAGATATTCATTAACATTTAATATATCGCTTCATAGAACGAGCTATGGCGTCAACAGTCCTATTGACAGATATTTGTCTATGTTGAATAATCTTAATTTAGATATTTTTAATATGGGATTAGCCAAATTTAAAACCAATTGTAAAAATGTGATACATGTTCCTTAATTTATATTTAACGTATATTTAACGTATATTTAAATTCACCTTAATTAATTACTGTAAAAACTCACTTTCGTACTTTGTTTTTTGTTTTGTTTTAGTAATGTTGTAGTAATAGTAATTTTCTACCTGCCTTTTTATATTTTTATATTGTAAATTGTATAAATGGGGTTATCCCGTATAATAAATAAATAAATAAATTCCTCTCCCCTGTATCCAACTACAAAGTGCTGGCTAAAATCGACGTGCCACTTTTGCAGTCAACTGAGGAATTATATTATTTGTTACTATTTAATAAAATAGAAAACGTGTGTTTTGTAGTTAACTTATTTTAAGTATCTAAAAATCTGATTAAGTTACCGTGAGCAATTGAATATTTCAAATAAACCAAAATTTAATTATCGCTCGAGAGAGCCAGAGAGAAGACATTCTCTTGTCTCTTCATGAGTCTGTTGTCCAGACAAAATAACGACTACTGTCGATGAGATTGCAAACGAAAATCGCTTGTCTCAACGACATGATTACATACATATTAAACAAGTTATACAAAGATAATATATTAAATAGCTATTTTTAATTTTTTTTGTAATTTTATTGTATACTTGTTTACATAAGTTTGCAGTAACTATTAAATTATTAATTATGGCTAAAATTTAACCGTAATTACCATATTTATACAACGAATGGTATCAGGACTATCATTAATCTCGTAAGTTAATGCACGTGTTGTCAAAAATAGATTGTCAAAATTATCAAATTATCATTACTAGATCTTTATAGCATTAATATACAAAGTATCATTTTGTAGTTACTAGTCAAGTATAATGTATGATATATGATTGTTATTGTTATTGATTATTAATCAAAAAAAAAGTATAGCAAATTATTACATTGTGAGTGACATAATCTCTATAATTTGTATACAATAAAAAATATATTTTATCAAATTTACATTTTGGTTGGCGATATTCAAGTGCGATAAATCCTGTTATATGTATCCCAAATGGCGGCTAGAAACCTTTGATAACATCCATATAGTTTTAGCAGCTGCAAACATCTAAAAATATTTGTTCTACACCCACATGAACATTACCTTATCTACGCACAGGCTACAAAACGAAAAAGTACGCTATTACGTTCAACTGAACGAATATATTTTATATCCATTATAGGTAGTGATAACACTACAAAAAAATTCAATCCACCAATCGCAGTTCATATTTTGGACATTGAACTACTATTATTTTTAAAATTTGAAATAAGTGACAATTCTGTCAAACTAATTGTCAGTATATTTTTTAGTTATTGAGATTAAATATACAATAAAATAAGCTATTTTGTGTAGAATCGATAAATAATACCATTTTTATTTTTATTTGGTTCACATTTTGAAAAAAAAAAATTAATCAAACTATATGAAACTAATTGAATTACGAGTATTAAAACTAAATTCGTAACGGCGTTCCACGCGAAAAGTCTCAGGTCCAATCTGGACTAGGGACTAATTAAATTAATCTTTTGTTTATTTTATTTTATAAATCTGTAAACTTCATAAGTTATTTTAAAATATTTTTAAAATTTGTAAATTTTTGTTAGTTGGTCGTAGAAAAAATATACTGTACAACTCGAGTGAATTGTCTATATCCATTCCTGTTGCACAACCAACTATTACCGCCAACCGTCAATAAACCATGCATTACCATTGCGATTTGGCAAAGTAAACAAATCATTTATATCACTGTAAAAATCAAATATTTTACCTGTCGCTATTATTTATCAACATAGCCATGACCGTCTGACAGAAATAGTCTGTAACTTAGTTGTTTTGTATTGGCTATTATTTTTCTGTTTGTTTACTTTGCCATAGTGAACTGTAATAATATATCTTTTTTTTAATTAATTATAATTATTTACGGTTGGCGAAAATAGTAGTTTATGCAACAAGAATTGATGGCCATATCGCACGAATACGAAATTAGAGCACGAAGCCGTAGGCGGAGAACTGAATCGGCTGAGTGCGATATGGACAATCCACTCGAGTTGTACAGAATATTTTTTATACGACTTACTAACGAAAATTTACAAATAAAAAAAATATTTTAGGTAATTAAGACAAAATAACTATTTTTAAATAATTTATGACTTTCAATAATTTTTAAAATAAAATAAACGGAAAAGAAAAAATGTTTATTTCATTTTTTTCCATCCGAGAATCGAACTCGAGTCTTCAGTGTGGAAGGCAAGAACGCTAACGACAGAACCACCTATTCTTTTATTTTTGTTGCTTTTAATACTCGTAATTGGGGGGTGGGTGGCTCAGTGGTAGAGTCTCTGCCTGTGGATCCAAGGGTCCCAGGTTCGAATCCCACCCTTGGCCGGGATTTTTTTATTTAATTTAATTATTTAAAATTAATTCTGGTGCCTTGGTAGGATTCCCCACTCGACCATTCACTGTTGGGTTCTAATTAACAGTGCTGTTCCTTAAGTGGCGCTGGGAAACAGTAACAAAGCCTACACAGAACACGAGGCTAATGACCTTAGTAGTCGATGCCGATGACACCAAATTAAAAAAAACAAATACTCGTAATTAAATTGACTTCATATAGTTTTATTTAAATTAACAAATTATTTATAATTATAGACGAAATAAAAACAAAAATGCTATTATTTATAGATTCTACACAAGAATAGCCCATTTTAATGTATGTTTAATCTCAATAACTAAAAAATATACTCACAATTAGTTTGACAGAATTGTCGCGTATTTAAAATTTTAAAAATAATGGCAGTTGGTTGATCAAAATATGAACGGTGATTGGTGGAATTCATTTTTTTGCAGTGTTCTCACTATCTAGAATTGATATGAAATATATTTATTCAGTTGAAGGCAATAACATACTTTTTCGTTTTGTAATCTGTGCGTAGATAAGCTAATATCCATTTGGGTGTAGAAAAAAATAGATAAAAATAAATCCAGGTTTGTTTAATCACATAGCATCGTCTGAAAATGTCTCAATGCGCATGCTCAGAAATACCGCAACGAGGAGCATGTTTGTACCAAAAGTGGATTATAATATTTACGATATACTGGTTGCCTATGTATATAAAAAATTCATTATTTCGTGTCGTAACATACTCTACCCACAAAGCGTTCTGATTAATTAGCTTTACTCACTGTCCGAGAAAAATGTTCCTAATCAAATCGTGGGTAAACTACTCTACTCTACTAATAATGCATTGTGGACAAAAAATTTGGGCAAGGGGCAATTTCGGCTATTGCGAATAACATACATTTCTTTGTTTAAATAATAAGCACTTTTTACTTTAGTTTTATTATTATTATCCTATTATCTACAATTTTATATTTACTTATTTTAGAATCAGAAAAACTTAAGAGGTACCGTAAATCTTATTGACACTGCTATAGTATGTAGGGGTGGTGATATCTATGAAGAGGTGCCGACCACAGAATTAGTTCCGGGTGACTTAATAGTCATTCCATCAGGAGGCTGTGAAATGCAATGTGATGCAGTTTTATTAACAGGACATTGCGTTGTCAATGAGAGTATGTTAACAGGTAAATAATAAATCTTATTCACAAGTTTAGAATATCTGCATTATTGTATTACCAATCTTGAGCACCATTAGGATTTATAAATCATAAAATATTCAGCAATATTTTTGACTGTTTCAGGTGAATCTGTACCAATTAGTAAAACACCTTTACCTGAAGATTATGTTCTATTTAATTTAAAGGAAAACATGAACCATACACTTTTTTGTGGAACTAAAATTATTCAAACTAAAAGTAAAGGTGCGTATTTATCATACCAGTAGATAATTATTTATTTTTATTAGTTTTTAATAGTTCTATTATTTTTCTTCTATTACTCTCCACTATCATTTACTACGAAAAACAATGCTAAAGTTTACGAAAAAAAAATAATTACAAATTACGAATTGCGAATTACGAATTACGAATTATGGGATATCACCATTTTTAACACTTTTGGAATAACGAATAATTTAATTGCAAAATTCTTAATTGAAATGTATCACCCTGTATATAATAAAACTGCTTTATCGAAAATTTATAATATTAAACGATGTTTAATTTACATTATTCACAAAACTGTTTTTAAAAATCCGTCTTTTATTATTTTTTAATAGGTAAAATAGTATTTCAATATGTTTCAGGCGATGCAAAAGTATTGGCTGTAGTTATAAAAACGGGATATTTAACCACCAAAGGTGAACTAGTAAGGAGCATATTGTATCCACCACCAGCCGACTTCAAATTTGAAACAGACAGTTACAAATTTATAGGAATTTTGTTTGTTATTGCCGTTCTAGGCGTTGTTTACACCGTTGTATCCAAGGTACTTTAAAACCAAAACCACCCATCTTAAATTTATCAGTGAATATTTAACTTAGAGAGAGATAAAAAAATTACTCTTATGCCTAAACAGAAATTTCTAGATCAACAAATTTACATTTTAGTGCTAGAAGCCAGATTACAACTGCTGGGTATTCTTAAAGGAAATCTATAAATTAACACCAAAATAGCTAGGTTAGCCTAAGGTTACCATCTTCTAATATATTGCAATAATGATTTCACCAGAGGAGTACTCTCCTCTTGAATCACATCTTAAATAAATGATTGATTTATATGGACTGGTGTACAAAAAATTCTTCTTTTTAAATGACAGTTTGGATTTACTCCAGAGGCGTTTGCATTTATCATAGACGTGAATCTGTCTTTGTCAATCATGTTCCACTTTAGAAACTTTTTTTGTGAAACTCTCCACCGTTGAAGCTAAAGAAATTAATCTAATATACATGCCACCACCACTATATGATACCCTGGTTATCATAGACGTGAATCTGTCTTTGTCAATCATGGTCTACTTTAGAAACTTTTTTTGTGAAACTCTCCACCGTTGAAGCTAAAGAAATGCATCTAATATACATGCCACCACCACTATATGATACCCTGGAAGGTAAAAAAAATATAGTAGAAAGGAATGGACAATAGCAATGGCTTATTTGTACTGATGTCAAATTCTTGTAGAAAATTACAGATATGGCAATATGTTTCCACGTACTTGTTGTTGGTGTAATGTGACCCATATATTTTTTCGAGCAATGATATATGTTCTTTGATTTTTATTTTACGATGAAGTTTGTTTCTAATTTCTTCCTGGCACATCGTTTTATCCTTTCTTCCATCGAAGTATAATGCAATAATCTCCGGAGTAGATGTGAAATTCGTTTTTTAAATCAAAACTGTGTTTTTGACGAGCCTTCGGACCTTACTTCGGTCAATAACTGAAGACGATGTTTCTTTCGAAATAAGTCCAAATCCTGTAATACAGCAGATGCAAGCGCTGCTGCAGAACGGTCCAAAATGCCAAATTGGTCAGAAATACGAGCTAGGTTGGGAATAGGCAATCTCATTTGCTGGCTTGTACTGCAACCTGATGTTGATGGAAGCTCCGACTTAGCTTCGTCTTTTTATGTCAAATTCTCAAACTCTACTGACATCTCAGACTCAGATGAATAAGAAATACTGTCTCGCTCAAAGTTTACAATGTTGTCATTGTCTACTTCAAACTTAAAAGGAAGCTGATTTGCATACGCCTTGATCTTAATTTTTCTTTCTTCTTTGGCTTTTAATTTATTTATTTCAGTAACGTCTATTTTTTTAATAACAAATTTCACAGTTCGTTGATCGTGAATAAATTCTTGCTTTATATTTGGTATTTTGAGTTTTTTAACACAGCCACATGTATCAAAAGAAGCACATTTACATGCAGCAATATCGAATAATTTCTTTGAATCGTCTTTATATTTTTCAACTTTTAACTTATAATTGTCATTTCGTTTAGTATTAGGATATCCTAATAAGGGTTTGGTACTTACCCAGGATATCTCGAATTAATTTTTTTTTAATCTATGGCCTAGGTATATAAATCTATTATGCCAGTCTCAGTTTGTGTTTAAATTCTCAATCATGTGTGTTCTGTGTAGGCTTTGTTACTGTTTTCCAGCGCCACTTCAGGAACGGCACTGTTAATTAGAACCCAACAGTGAATGGTCGAGTGGGGAATCCTATCAAGGCATCAGAATTAATTTTAAGTAATTAAATTAAATAAAAAAATCCCGGCAAAGGTAGGATTTGAACCTGGGACCCTTGGATCCACAGGCAGAGACTCTACCTCTGAGCCACCCACTTCCCTTGAATTAATTGTAAAATGCGATTTTTCGATATAGTGGGAATTGAAGCTTTTTCCCAGATCACTTCGATATCACTCGCAAGAATTTGAGATATTTCTAAAATACTAGGGTCTTTACCGGAGCTCAAAACCTTGAGTTCATTTCGAATAAGCATATATCGCTTCATGATATTTTCCACATTTGGCAAAACATTAGAGGGTATATTCGCTGATGCACCAAATATAGGACAATTAGTAGCTCCCCTACTGCCCATAGTGTCCTTCACTGACAAACTTATTACAACTTAAAACAAGGATCTTACTTCCGCCTACCTACTGAGTTCAGCTTAGAGCTATACAATTCGCCATGCATAAACGATTATGAACTGGTCTTAACTGGATTGAACAAGTTTGAAGAGTTTTGTGACATACGAGGATATATCAGCACATAACGAGACTGGTGCTATAACTTCTTTCAGAGGTAACATTTTATAACCCAAAAAATGAGACATGAAAGCCTTATATTTAATGTACTACCCCGTAAGTAGGCTTTGATTTAACTTTTGACATTTGTTACAAATTAATTATTGAATTGTCAGTGTTTTTCGTACCCATCGAAAAATGAAAGTGGAGCAAAGATACGCGATAAAATTTTGTGTTCGATTGGGTAAAACACCAACTGAAACTTTTGAAATGATTAAAGGTGCATATCTAGATAATAGTTTATTACGATATAGAGTGTTTGAGTGGCATAAAAAGTTTAAAGACGGTTGTGAATCAGTTGAAGATGAACCTCGTCCCGGTCGACCACAAACTGCGAGAAATGACACAAAAATTGCAGAAATTAACGACTTGATACAAAATGATCGCCGGATTGGCATAAAACGAATTTCTGACAATGTTAATTTGTCTTACGGTACCACTCAAAAAATTATTCATGACGATTTAGAGTACCGGAAGATCGCGGCAAGATGGATTCCAAAAGTGATGACCGATGAACAAAAAGCGAATCGAGTGACAATTTGTCAGCAGTGGAAAAGGCAATTGCAACGTAACCCACAGTTTTCAAATAATGTGGTTACATGTGACGAAAGTTGGTTTTATCATTACGATCCTGAATTGAAGTCTCAAAGTATGCAATGGAAGCATAAAGGCAGCCCAAGACCGCAGAAGGCCAAAACTGCTAAAAGCGCTGGTAAAGTGATGCACCTGATTTTTTTTGATAAATTTGGCGTTATTTACGATCACATTGTACCTAGAGGACATACAGTAACAGGGGAGTACTATTCTAATGTACTTCGAGGACCCTTGAAGGCAAAATTAAAGAAAAAAAAAAGGCCGCTTTATCAGGACTTTGGCTGGACGCTGCATCACGACAATGCTCCGGCTCATAGATCAATGATTTGTCAACGAACAATTGGAGAATTAGGGGTTGAAATTATGGTTCATCCCCCCTACTCTCCTGATCTTGCTCCATGTGACTTCCATTTGTTTCCTGAAGTCAAAAAAGAATTGAGAGGTAGAAGATTTGAGTCGGATTTAGAGCTCAACAACGCTGTGATGGGTATACTAAACAGACTATCAAAAAATGGTTTCTCAGAAGTTTATGATAAGTGGATAAAGCGATGGGATAAGTGTATTCTTCAGAATGGAGAGTACTTCGAAGGATAGTTGTTGAATTTTTTTAAATAAATGTTTCGTTGTTATACTATAGCACCAGTCTCGTTATTTTCTGATACATCCTCGTAATATTTGAGATTTTCTGGATTTATGTATTAATGTAAAAGTTTGATGCCAGGTACTTTTGAATAGGTGCATTTGGTTAATGTTTTTTACTAGAATTTTATTTATTTTATTTTCAATTTGATGAAAGGTAGAGGCCTGAAGACATTTATTTTTAACTGAAATTTTAGGAAATAGTTTACTATATGTAGAGGCAACTTTTCTTAGGTATTATATAGTAAAAAAAATTTTTTCGCTCCACCCTACTGTATATAGAGTTTAAGACCTTCAAACACGTTAATCCGTAGGAAAACTTTAATTTATTTGCCACCATTAGAGCTTATATTCTTTTAAGTTTTTGTTTTAATTTGTCGTTTTATTTTATTTTTTTTTTTTTAGAGTACAAGAAAGATTAAACCTTTGGATATTTTAATAAAGGCATTGGACATTTTTACCATAGCTGTTCCTCCGGCACTTCCGGCAGCCATGACTGTGGGCAAGTTGTACGCTTTGACTCGCTTGAAGAATAAAAAGATATTTTGCATTAACTCCAGGGTAATCAATGTATCTGGTTCAACAGACTGCATATGTTTTGATAAGGTATTAATACATTAATAGTTCATAACAGTCATCTTGCCACTACTTCACACTAAAATTATTTTCTTTGTCTTCCACTTCACTGATCATCATTCTCATATTTTAGTTCATTCTTTTTTTTAATTATTCATTCATTTAATTGCTCCCTATTTCTAACTATGAGGTTTAAATACCGACGCTTGTGAACACGTTCCCCCCAAATATCATAAATTTAACCGAATACTCTGGCATCCAACACCTATGCACTCGGGACCAATGGCTGTACATGTCCTAATAAATATGACTCATCACACACTATACCTCGTAAATTACTTGATTACTATCCAAAGAGTACATTACTTTACAATGCGCAGAAACCAGACTGAATTTATAGGCGGTAGGCGTGGTCACAGAGCTTCCAGTGTCTTATTTATAATACTGCAAAGTTGCATTCTATTATAACTGGAAGGAACATGCTCATCTATACAGATAGCAGACAAGCACTACTTACCCTGAACAGACCACGAATTTACTCAGGGTTAGTACTAGAATGTCACGAAGCTTTGGCCGAAGTATCCATCAACAATAGGGTCACCTTGCTGATTTACTAGCCAAAAAAGCAGCCAACCAAATACTTTTTGGACCTGGCCCTTCTACTGGCCTGACAAAATCGGCAGTGAAATTCAAGGAACGATGGGATGAAACAAAAAACTGCAGAGTTGCAAGGGAGCTCTTAAGTTATCCTGACAACACTGCAGCAAACAAATACTTGACTATGACTAGACAGAATCTGCGCCTAGTCACAGGCATTCTGACTGGTCATTGCCAAGTACGAAAGCATCTTCATATCATGGGGATGTCAGAATCCGACGCTCTCATTTATTAGAAGATTTGTGTTCGGCGAGTATCGGCTAACACCGGCCGATTTAAGAGAAGCACCTCTTGGCGACGTTGTCAACTTCATAAAATATGTAGGCTGGCTCACGAGCTAGGAAGTGCCTATCATCTCAGGAGGATGCACAATGGGCCTAATGAGGCCTAAGTGCCGTGGGGGTAACTCACCCTCTACACGTTACAGATACAGAATGTACTCTTCGGATGGTAATCTACTAAGTAGATAAGCCAACTTTCTTTAAAATGGTCACCCACCTAAACCGGGCCGCTATCCTCGTTCATTTTTAATTATATCATTTGAATTTTTGACTTCTGAGAAATTTTAGTATACGGGTGACAATTTAAAAACTTACAAGAGGAAGATAACTGTAGTAATAGCACAAGTGTAAATTAAAAATTAAAAAAAACCGACTTCAAAAACGTGCAGATGCCATCACCACATCTTAACCAAATTTATATGGGATCACCCCTGAGGTACCCCCTTACTAACAAAAAAAAGAATCATATAAATCGGACAAAGTGGTAAAGCATTATCGCTAACATACATCAAAAATGAAGAGTTTGAGGATTTTCTCATGGACCCAATTATTAGATTTTGACTAAATGTATATGGGACCACCCCTGAAGTACCCCCTTTCTAACAAAAAAAGAATCATTGAAATCGGACACCGTGTTAAAGAATAATCGCTGAACATACATAAAAAAAAAATATCGCGACGAATTGATAACCTCCTTCTTTTTTGAAGTCGGTTAAAAAGTAAATCTTCAATCCATACATTTGTAAATATGATTTGTAAACATTGATTGATGTTGTACTATTACCAAAAATGTAATATTCTTCCTACCTTCACATAAGTGCAAATTAACCCGATAAAGCTAAATAAAACAAAACCAATTTAAAAAAATATTTTTTTATTATTATAGACAGGAACATTAACAGAAGATGAATTAGATATGTGGGGAATTGTGCCAATCGAAAATAAAGAAGTGAAGCAACCCTTAAAAAGTGTTAGTGCTCTTTCGTATACATCAGAACTACTACGAGGTATGGCTTCATGTCATTCCTTGGCCATTATTAACGGTGAATTAGGAGGAGACCCTCTTGACATTAAGGTAAGACGCGTATCAAACTTTTTTTCTGTTTCAGCACATATCTTTGGATTATTTGAAAATTATTTATTATAAATGCTTGTAGGACTCCTATTATGTTTTGTTAACATTCGTTAAATAGCTATTGAAAAGTCTATTAGACTGTTGCAGTTTTTCATAAAAGTTTCCTACCTTTTCCATTTCACATCGAACATTTCGTTTCTGAAGTATGTAATGAGACAACAAAAATAGAAACTTCATGGAAAATATATGGAGAATTATTTTTGTTTACAAAAAGTGTCCCTTAAAATAATGTATGAAATTAAGATGGCGTTATACTGTACTAGAATGGCCTCAAAAGTCAATAATTGAGATCGCATATGGAGAGATCACACACAATCACACCAATGATGTCTCTAGTTATATAGATTGTTCGCCCATATGTAAATAAGAGGGTATAACCCAAAAACTACAACGTGAAATGCGAATTGTTAAGAAATTTATAATTGTTTTCAATCCTCTAATAATTAATAAAGTAACATGTATCTATATCTTTATTAATTAAATCGAAATCCACTTTTCATATGGATGAGCAATCTATATAACTATATATCATTGGATCTTGCTCTTCTAGTGCACGAATACAAGTCTGGTCCAATGAACTGGAGTGGGGTAGAATGCTTGTCAATAAGCTTGAGATGCGACTCTAAGGGCGCGGCTATATTATTTTTCATCTCTCTCGGGAGTATTTATAATAACCATTTTCTATTTCACATTGTTATTATCTGGTTCACCAGATTGTGGACTGTACAATAATATGAAACAGAAAATGGTTATTATAAATACTCCCGAGTAAGATGAACAATAAAAATGGCTGCGCCCATAGAGTCGCACCTACTTATATTAATACAACATGCACACTGGCATTTTACCCCACTCCAGTTCATGGTCTGGTCCCTTTTTGAAACCTTATTTACTGCTTTTGGGTGGACACTTTTTGAGATAAACAACCATATGAGATTGTGCTCCTTTCCTCTGTACTCCATAATGGAAAGAGATGGAAGTTTTAGTTTCTTTCTAGCTTGGTTTCACTTTATTTGGAGCTCTTTAGGTAGCGGCAAACAACAAAATTCTTCTTTTTTAAAAGAAGAATTTAGATTTCATTAAATAGTTATCATTGGTACGACTCGTATCGCTGTTTTTGTGAGGCATGCCGAAACATATTTATCACATGTTATTTCATAAATATTTTACACATGCCAACAGAAAATTGTTCAGATATGTTCATTTCTATTTTAGATGTTCGAATCAACAGGTTGGAAATTACAAGATTCTGTAGACGCCACGAAACATCATCATATCAATGTAAAACCTGTATCTGGTTTTCCTCCCTATGAGGTAAGAAAAAAATAATTACTTGCTCTTTGCAACGTTATCTTATTCTAACTAGTAGACCGTCAGATAGTGACCGATTTAGGTTCCCTATTTTTGCATACAAGCCTCGAAGAGGAATGAAAAGTACATCGATTTTGAGTAGAATAAAAGAAAATTTACGAGTGGCTCTTGGGGATAACACATGGAAAATACGATTTTCCTTGCCAGAAAAATGTTCCAACTTCAAAATGCACTTATACATTCAGGTCATTCTATAAAATATATTTTTCGGACTAATGACGATGTACGCTTTCATACATTTGATGGGCTTGTGTGGAAAAATTTGGTAAAATCTCGATTTTTCTTTAGAAGATTACGCCCTTATTTCGGAAGCAATGTGGGGTTACTGTCTCAGTTAACACTTAGACTATGTAATACTGCAATACTCCCTTATTGCGTAAATAACTATTATTAAAATAAATATATATATATATATATACAGTGTGTCCACTTAAGTTTGAACCATATGGAAAAAAAAAATTTATTCGCTGTTTGGTGAAAAAAATTATTTTTGATAAAAAGTTCTGCATGGTCCAAAACTTAAAATGCAACCATCAGATATCAATTTTTTTTTAAGTAGTATACGAGGTTTGTCAAAAAATATGATTTTTGCTGAAGAGTAAAGTACCTTTATTTTTGACAAACCTTGTATACGACTGATACAATTTTATATTCGATGGTCGCATTTTAAGTTTCAAATCATGCAGAATTTTTTATTAGAAATAATTTTTTTCACAAAACCAATAATACAAATGTTTTCCAAATGGTTCAAGGGACATTTTAGATTATATTTTAATACGATCATGCTTCTTCTATGATTTAAGAATCCACCAGAAGTTGGAATAGTCAAACAGTACCAGTTTTCTTCTCATCTTCAACGAATGAGCGTAATAGTCCATTCGTCAGACACGCAGAACTACACAGTATTCTGCAAAGGTGCTCCAGAAATGATAATATCTTTATCGAAACCAAATTCTTTACCAACAAATTTAATTGACAAAGTTCACGAATACACAGTTCAAGGCTACAGAGTTATAGCGCTAGGCAAGAAATATCTGGAAGGAGTGACAATTGAAGAAGTTAACAAGAAGTTAAGAGAAGATGTCGAATATGATTTAGATTTTTGTGGATTGATTATTTTAGAGAATAAATTAAAACCGCAAACTTCTGGAATAATTAATATATTGAAAAATGCAAATTTGAAAGTCGTTATGATTACTGGTAAGTACTTATATTTTTCAAATTTGAATGCTATATCTACCAGATGGTTTATAAATAAGAATTTTAACTATAAATTCAGTTTTCTTGTTTTTGTGAGGTGAGATTTGTAATTCTATTCATCGCGGTCATAAATAAATATTTTTTTTTTTAATTTTACCTCTATTAATATTAAAAAGTGGGGTAATAGTAAGCAATTATTATTGATTCTTTCAAAAACAACAGAGACGTGTAACTTAATAGGAAAATTTGTTCGGTGGTCCATTTAAATTACATATATGACTTTCTTTCTCTTTTATATTGATCTTTACATCGAATAGATTAGACGACTAGTTGGAGAAAGTCCACCTAGTTACCAAATTAGGAGACTAGGAAAACTTTTACATGACTGGGGACACAACAGGAATGCACACGCACAAGATACACAAACAGACGACATAACAGGGGTAAGCCTTCAGCAACATCCTGTTTAAATGATGATACTATGTCATCCTTCATTCCCTTTTAAAAGGCTGGCATATAAATCTATTGATATCGACGACCCTAAGAGGAGTTAGCAGGGGGTGTACGGAATGGTTTTAGCAGGTTTCGATCCAGTTTACAGGATGGGAACTTACTCGACTCGGGCCTCATACATTTGTGTGAGTGTATGTGTCATAACATATCCATACCTTCTTGCCAGACTAACGTAAGCGACATTTGTTCAAATGGCATCTATGATAGTCTGGCAAAAAGGTATCGATATACTCTATACTTTATACAATAAACTGTGACCTATGACTTTCTTTGTAATTTATCACAAAATGATACGAGGTGCTTTCTAAACGTAGCAATTGTAGTTTGTTTTTCTGTACCTTACAAAAATATAATTTATAGAAAAAGAGTTTGGTGTATTATTTTTCCAAGTTCAAATATTTAATAATCAATAGAATTTTCAAGTTTTTTTTAGCGAAATTTACAAGAGAAATAAAAACTATGTTCATTGCTTATATTAAACTGATTAAAACTTCCTTGATTAAAATGATAAAAAATTTGATGTTATTGGAAGCTTCTATATTTTTTAATATACAATGAAACAATAGTTTTTGTTTCTCCTGTAAATTTGTATAGGAAAACTATTTATTTCTGAATCCATGTTTGAATTTCCCGCCCTAAAGCATTTTTAATTTTCCCGCTATTTACTAGTGGCGTCATCATAGACTGGTTGTGGTTACAATCGCCCAAACAACTTTTACCGAACAAAAAAATACATTGAGTTACACGCTTCGAGCATGTTACACGTCTCGCTGGGTTGTCTCTGATTCTTGTCACTCAGATTTTACTTGTAAATCAGTTAAAAATATGGTCAATTTAGGTGATAATTTGCAAACTGGGGTTCACATAGCAAGAGAATGTGGAATGGTCGAGCCAACTCAGACCATAATTGAAGTTATGGCTGGAGAACCATCCCAGTATGTAGCAGCATCTATTGGTTACAAAATTCTTAGTCCAGGAATTGTGCTGGTAAGTGTTTTTGTTATTATATCCAATGACGTGCCGAAGTTATATGATATGATGATAAATGGGTGATACAAATTGTTTGTATTGTTTAAAAAGTCATAGTCCTAGGGCTAACGAGCAAATCTATGACTTGTTTTCTTATGGCTGAATTTGTTAATAAATTGTACTATGATACATGCCCAACGTACTCATAAAAGGGGGCATTACAATTGGTACGCTACGTATTTTCTTAACATTTTCGTTATGCTCATTCGGCGATAAGTTTCCACCTCAAAAAATATTAAACCTTCCACCAATTTCGCCGGACCTTTATTTCTCTCCAACGTTTTAAAGTAATACGTAAAGTGGCATGCTTGTGATAGGTTTTCTCAACTAGTTAGAAATACTCCCACTTGTGACGTTCGAACTGGGTGTGCTCGGGCGCCAGTTTGTTTTAGAGTGGTTTGCTCCACTGTACCTGTTGGAACAAGTTCCAATAAGGGCTGCAAGTAGCTGCAGTGCAGAAAGAAAATTCCAGAGGGTTAACGATATTGTATTAGTTATGTAGTACCTGAAAAGAGATATTTACGGCAAGGGAATTAAATGCCATGTTTCAATTTGACACATATATAGTATTTACAAACGTTTCGGTTGATATTCGGTGAAGCTAAATAATTGTATTTACAAGCCCTCCCCAAGTTATTGGATCTAACCCTGAAAAAAATATAAAAAAAAATCTTAACGGAAATTAATGGGTAAAATAAAATAAAAACTCAATCGGACAAATGAGGGCGTTTATGAATAAAACGGTGTCAGGAAAATGGCGATCAAACCAGCAGTACTACGCAGGAAATATAGAGACACGGCGGGGAGTGGACAGGAGCGGAAGTAATGTACAACAGAGAAATTGCAAATCTAGCTACAGCCTAACGGATCACAAGATTAATATTCTGGCGACGAAACCCCTGAGGATGGCTCTCCAGGCTATGTAACCTCGTATAAAACAGACTCTGGGAGTAAAGCCGAATCAGCCCATTCTACCACGCTGGATAGTCACTATACATCAACTTACAGTTGAGGGCCTTGGAATAAAAGGTGCATAAGTGATTTTTTGGATTGGAGATAATAGCATATATGAATATTTAAAGTTGATGTTTTTTGGTGCAAAATAGATTTAAGTGATGTATTGACCTAGACTGTCATCTTTTGGTGAGTAGAAATACTAATTCCTGCAGTTTGGTGAGAGCAAACAGGTACAAGCGTCACGTGTACCCTTTTTATTCCAAAATGCACTTATACCCCTTTTATTCTAATGCCCTCAATTCAGAGTCCAGTCAACTGGTCGGGAATTCACTAAAAGTCTAACTAACGGTAGGGACAGAATTAAATAAACCAAAAGAACTTTAATCGCAGAGTTAAAGAAATTTACGAGAGAAATAGACTAACGGTAGCAAAGGTAGCTAAGCTTCACTTCTGTTCAATAGCAAATTTGGAACATATCATCTGAGTTGGTTACCAAATTAGCCCATTCCACTGCAGGAGTAGTCACTGTCTTCAATAACAACTCAGACGATACTCTAATTCAGGGAATTTTATAGCGGAATGTACAAAAGAAATACTTAGGAACCCTAACATGGCCTAACAGGAATGGGAAAGGGACATAAATCAAATCAATTAGTTACTTAATGAATGTTCAAGAAATTCATGTTACTCCATTCGAAAGCATTCAAAAATAAAATTGAAAACTACGATTGATTAATTTCTTGGCAACTCGGTATAATTAATTTTAAATGAAATATTCGGAGACGTTCAAACCACTTCTAAGTTAATTACCCACCCGGTATAAATATTTTTCAAACTACTCTTTATAAAATTAAAGGAAACTAAATTTTGTACAACCCCGGTATAACTATTTTCGACACCTGTATTAAAATATTTACTAGTTTTAGTTTAATGATTTATTCAGTAATATTTCTTAAAACAAATGAAATTCTATTTATTAAATAAAAATAATCCGAACTAATATTTAATTGAAATGAATTAAATTATTTTATACGGCTCTTAACGTTATTGTAAAATTAGCAGACAAAATCCGGATTTGCTTCCAAAATACTAATAAGGTTGCAAATAAAAAAAAATTTAATAAAAAGTAAATATAAACAACTCGGGAATTTAGAGGATTCCTGCTGGTTTCACACAGTTTTCGGGACACACGGCTGAATGAATCTACAAGAATAATCTAATTACTTATCGGAATAGTGTACAATGGAAAAAAAGGGATTTTAGAATTCTAACGGAATTGAAGTGGTATCACAGTTCGGTCTCAAAACAACTAGTCGCGAGGAGAAATTAAAATTGAATGCCCTAAAGTATTGCTAACCTTGAAGTAAGATTTTTCCCTCCACTTACCTTAAAAATTACCACTTTTATGAAATAATCACTCCCGTTTAGGGATGCCATCTTTTCATTCCTCAAAACCCGGACCAAGTCAACTTATAATTTCATAAACCAGGTCCTTCTGTCCAGCTACTAAAAAAAAAAATAAAAAAAAAATATAAAAAATTCCTCAGTCTGTATTGTTAATAAACCAACAAGTCTGTTCTAAAAGTTATCCAAATATTCCCGTGTATTCACAATTTGAAGTGGATTAAAAATTACCTTTTTGAATTAACTTTTTCCCTTTTATGTTAAAAATTCCCGCAAAACGGGAAATTTCCCTCCAGTTAGCAACACTGGCCATCAGCTATTTGCCATCGCCTCATCATTCACCAGCTCTCGCGATATGCTCGAGGCTCTCGCGTCGATTTCGAATGCGCGAGATTGGTAGTGGGGACGCGATGAATTTACAGCAATAAGAAATTTAACACCTGGTTAAAATAAAATCGATAATTATTTGCAAATCGCGGGAATTTCTGAAAATAATAATTTAAAAATTGGGGAGCTTTAAGAAAAGGGTTACATGCTCGTGACTTATTTTATTATGGCGGATTTTTGGTTTATTTTCAAGGTTTTGTTAAGTTTATCACAAAATTCACATCCTCCACTAATTTAGTTAGGCCACTTTTTCTTTCCGACGTTTTAAAGTGGTGCATGAATGAGCATGTACATGCCTTATTTTTAAAAATTGGACAATTGTACCAAAATAAGATAAAGATGATACCTTTTTACTGAATTAATGTCCATTCAAGATATTGGACAGTTTTTCGTGTCTAACAAAAATAAATAATTTAAAACCAATATTAATGTATTTATATAAATTGATGAAAATACATATTCAGGCGTTTCTGGATCACTAAAAACAGTTATCAAATTTTACAATTATTATTTTTTTTATTTGCTTTACTAATCTTATATAGAATGTGCTGGTTTATAAATTTTAACTTAAGAATGCCACGAGCGAATTTGTTCTGGGCGACCTCAAAACCCGGTGAAAATACTTTGTCAAGTCATTGCGTTAATGTAAAACAATAATTTTTTTTAATTTTTCATTCTCGTTCATCACTTAAAACGGTCCAATATTTTTATCGGATACTAGTTTAGTGAAAAGCTATGAATGTTTACTTTGGCGTCTAGGAAATTAAGTCACGTGCAAATACCTACTTACCCACTGTAAAACGTTGGAGAGAAAAAATAGACCAGCGAAATTGGGGGAGGAGGTGAATTTTGTGAAAACCACAACAAAAACTTGAAAATAAACAAAAAAAACAGCCATAAGTCACGCGCATGCCCACTCACGTACTATTTTAAAACGTTGGAGAGAAAAAATGGTCCAGCGAAGTTAGTGAGGGTTTAATATTTTTGTCACAAGTTTTTAGGAGGCACGTACGATTTGTAATGCCTATAGCTACCTAACCGCCAGGATTTCGTTGGACACGTAAATAGTATATTACATTAGGAGTGTGGAAAGTGACATTTTTCACACGAGTGGGAAGTATTGTCGCACGAGGTATACCTAAGCCGAGTGCGGTGATCACACAAGTGTGAAAAATTACTTTTGCACAATATTTTTCCTACAACAAAATATTTTTATCCAGGAAATCTGGCAATAAATATTCAATCATGATGTAGCTGGTTTTAGATTTTTTTTATGTAGCTTAATGAATAATTTTTAAAGTATTTTACCTATTGTGTTTTGTCGAAATTAAAAACTTGTTTTCATAGGATAATAACGGTAAAATAACATTAGATATACAATAATGTGTTTCATTCGTTGATTTTTTTAAATACAACAAATAATAAGATAAACAACCATGAACAAGAACTTTTTTTATTAAATTACCTACTTACATATTATTTCTGAAAATTAATCAAAATATTATGTAAATAAAAATAAATTAAGTAAATAGCGAAAAGATTAACTGTATGTTATATTGCAATAAATAAAATGTCCCTATTTAAAATAAATAAATAACAATAGACGTATTTTTTCAACTTTCATATTTTTAAAAAATTAAAAAAATTAAAAAATACAAAAAAAATTAAAAAATTCCATCGGTGGGGATTGAACCACATCGCATGTGGTCGAAATATGCAAAGATAGAGCTGAACCCGAGAAGATATTTTCGGGTTTATCGCTCTATGAACTGAGCTAACAAGCTTGTCACATGAACAATCTTACTAAATATTTATATTAACAAAAAAAACTAAAAATAATGTGGTTACCTACTTTAAAATTATTTTAATACTTTGTAAAAAATAAATATCTAGAATCTAGGTATAAAAATCAGTATTCACGATTTAATTATCAACTATTTTACTATTAATATGGACATTACATAGATCAAAATAGAAATTACGCGTTTGACATATTTGACAGCTGATGCGGAAAGTAGATATTTACACACGTGTGGAAAAAAGATTCTTAACAACACTTCCCGTAAGAATAAATAGTGTAGGAAAAATATATTTCAAATCGTTGAGTTTTTACTATATGCGAGCTTTTTATGTGACCATTTTATAGAATGAATTAAATTAATACTAATTGTCTGCATATAATTAAGGTAATTTTGAACCAGCTAGGCTAAATGATCATTTAAAAAAAAACTCTAATATATTTGCACAGAAGTAGGTACAAATAGACCTCATATTAATGGTATTTTTTAGGTTAAATATGAGAAATCTTTGGATATTGAAAAAGCCCCACAGAATAGATATTGCTTCGCTGTAACTGGAAAATCGTGGGGAAATATCGTTAAGTATTTTCCAGAACTAATACCAAGAATTGTTGTAAAAGGAGCAGTTTTTGCAAGAATGTCTGGAATGCAAAAACAACAGTTGGTGGAAGAATTGAAAAATATGGGTTATTATGTGGGTAGGTAATTAAGCCTAATTTATTTTTACAATCTTAAAATCTGTCTCCCTTTTTCTCCATCTCTCCCTCTTTGCCTCCCTCCCTCTTTGCCTATTTTCCTCTCTATCTTTCCCTCTTTTCCTCTCTCCCCCTCTCCATCGAAGCTGAATCCCATAGATCCAAATTGGTTTGAGAACTTGTTTATATAATAGAATTTTGTTATATGTAGATAGGCTGGAATGCCTACCAAGTAACCAGTACATTTTCTTGAATTTTATATTTAACGCTTGTCTTTTCTTTTTGACATGGACCTTCCAGCAAAGTCTTGCATCTAATGTAATATCTAGAAGCAGAAATAATGTTAAAGCAATGGCTTTTCAAATCATTAATTATATTTTCTGGTTCGCAAAAGTAGTGCAGTTTATATGCCACTACTTTAATTGATCTATTCTGTTTGTCCTCATACGAGTACCAAGTGAACTCTTGTTCTGTTAATGCTTTAGTCAAACTTATTTTTAAGTCTCGCGATATTTTGACTAACTCAAATCTGGTAAGTCAGAAATAATACCCTAAAAAATGCCCTATAGGTATATTTTGTACCAAACCTGTTTAATATAAAAGGCATAAGGCATAAGTTTTTTCCCAATAGTGCTCTGCTTCACAGTGAAACTATCTTGAAAGCAGCTATATCTAATGCAAAAAACAATATTATCACAATTAGCTAACAAGTGCCCTAGGTAATCCAAGAAAAATATAATCAGTGTTAAACTTGTTAATTCATAATAAAATATCAAAGCAACAAAACACAGTGAATAAACTCCAAGTAGAAGATGACTCTATAGAAGTTCCTAAGTAAATTGCAGATATTCTTAACATCTATTTTACAGAAATAGGTAAAGTCTTAGCAGAAAATATACCGGAGTCTACTTACACAAAACCTACAGTTATAAACCGTCAACAACTATACCAATGGGAGTTAACTACCCCTCAAGAAATCAACAAAGTAATTTCAGAGTTAAAATCGATAAAAGCCTGTGGTGCTAATGGTATCTCTGGGGACTTGATCAAACATTTCAAAAACGAGATGTCGGTTATCTTAAGTAACCTAATAAACTTAACTTTCACTCATGCTTCAATTTCCAATGGACTAAAAGTAGCTAAAGTTTTACCAACTAATAACTAACGACCGATATCTCTATTAAGTTCTATCTCCAAAGTCCTGGAAAAATGTATTAATCAAAGGCTTGTTTCCTATCTTCAAAAAAATAATTTTTGGTCCAAGGGACAGTATGGTTTTCGTAGTGGAAGTAGCACAACGTCGGCAGTCACAGATATGATTACCAACATCAGACATCTTATGGATGAAGGCAATGCATGTATCATTGTTTCACTTGATTTAAAGAAGGCGTCTAATACTGTTAATCACTCAGTACTGTTATCTATTTTGGAAGACTATGGAATAACAGGAAATGCATTGTCTTTCTTCAGAGATTAGTTTAATGGTCGTACACAGTTTGTAAGTAATGGAAATACCTCAAGTAAAATGGCTGATCTGCAATATGGTGCACCCCAGGAGTCAATTCTTGGACCAACGTTATTCCTGATCTATATAAACTCCATAGCTCAGCTACCTTTAGCTCGTTATTTGCAACTTTATGCTGACGACGCTTGTCCCATCTATTTTGGAAAAGATACAGACGAAATAAAGTATATTATAGAGCAAGATCTAATTCAAATTCTTGAGTGGTTAAAATTTCATAAATTAACTCTGAATACTTAAAAGTCAAGTTTTTTAGTGATATCAAAAAAGCCTGAATAGAACCAATTCCAAATAAATATAGACTAGGACAGAATGCATTAAATATCTTGGCTTATACATAGATTCCAAGCTCAACTGGGAACATCATATTGCTCAATTGTGTAAAAAAATTAGTCCTGTCATTGGAGTATTGGGACGTCTTACCTGCTACCTTTCAGCTAACTTAAGGAAGACTTTGTATCATTCACTAATTCATTCGCATCTATCATATTTAACTCTTATTTGGATCAAAACTTCCCAAAATAGACTAAAACCCTTGCAAAGTCTACAGAATAACGCAATCAAAAAAGCTTTTCAACTTCCTTTTTGTCATCCTACTGATCTTTTGTATCGTCCAAATAATATTCTAGACATTCCCTCTCTAAATATCAGACATGCATTTTTATTCATAACCTATCTCTGAATAATATACACGCATTCATACAACTGACTACATCCTATGATATCCATAGATATAATACTCGGAATAATCGCTGCTTCAGAACCACAGCCGTAAGAATATGCTTTGGTGACCGAAGCATACTATCTGATGGTCTAAGACAATACAATGAGCTTCCTAGCACCATAAAGAACATAAGGAGTGACCTCTTTAAAAAAAAACTAAATAGAATTTTCTTAGTTGATATCTTCATCTTTAAATAGGGTTTAAGTAATAGTGTGATATTAAATTACTGTATTTTTTTTTCTTAATTATTAGTTATTTTGTAGTATTGGTATTATAAGTAAGCAGGTACCGAATTCTTCTTCTGTGATATGAAATCTTGCCAGTTTCAATTATGATATTGATATATTTGGTATGACCTTACCCAAATTCATTAATTGTACTCGTCAATCATTGTTTTAATCATTGTTTCAATTTCATTGTTTTATAAATCATTTTTTCAATCATTGTTTTAATTGTATTGAAACAACATTGTTTACTTTATTTATAATTTATATAGATACTTTAATTATATGTTAATTGCATTGTCTTGTAAATGGGACTACCTGTTAGACAATAAAGCTTATTATTATTATTATTATTATTATTATTATTATTATTATTATTATTATTATTATTATTATTATTATTATGATATTATAAAATACCTTGAAAGACCCACATAATCTTAAGCTCTCGGTCTAAATATACCAAATTGTATTCTATTTTTTATTAATAAACTTGATGGAACCTTATATTATATTTTATGTTTCAGCCATGTGCGGTGATGGAGCTAACGACTGTGGAGCACTCAAAGCAGCCCACGTAGGAATATCTCTATCTGAAGCAGAGTCAAGTGTGGCGTCTCCGTTTACCTCAAAAATTCAAAACATATCATGCGTTCCGAAAGTACTCAAAGAAGGCCGAGCTGCTTTGATAACATCATTTGGCATCTTCAAAGTTATGCTCTGCTACAGTTTGATCGAATTCAGCTCCGTCATGATCCTATATAATATTGACGGGAATTTAAGTTCGTTTCAGTTTCTCTTTATAGATATATGTCTGATCTTAAACTTTGCTTCATTCTTTGGAATTACTAAAGCTCATGACACGTTGGCCAAAACTCCACCCAGGAACTCGCTGATGGGTTTCGTACCTATTTCGTCAATGAGTTTTTTTATGATTATAAGCGTGTTTTTCCAACTCACTGGATACTACTGGATTCAGACTTACAACTGGTTTACTCCTTATGTATATAAGGGACATGATGATACGAATTTTGTATCGTACGAAAATTTTTCTGTATTTGTAATATCCGTTTTCCAGTATATAACCATGTGTGTAGTGTTTTCTAAAGGAAGACCCTATAGAAAACCTTTATACACAAATGTACCTTTCACAGCATCCCTTATAATTACTACAGCGCTGTGTTTATGGATGGTCATAAAACCACCTGATTGGTTAATATCAGTAATGGAACTCAAGCCCACTCCTATGGAGGCCATATATGCTTTGCTCTTAATAGGAGCTATAAATTTTGTTATTTGTATAATCTTCGAAGATGTTATAGTCGAAAATGTTCTGGGTAAAATTGTGGTCCCGAAGTTTAAACGTTTAGAACATTCCCGGAAAAAATATTTAGAGGTATTTAGGGATCTCAGTAGGGATCCAGATTGGCCAATAATTAGTGATAAAGACACTCTGATTATGAACACTTATAATCACAACAATGATCTAAATGGAATTTATAATAAAGGTTTTGATGATGCAATAACTAAGTGCTGAAGACATTCAAACATGCTTTAGAGCAGAGTCTATTCATGTTAGGAGCAAATCTTTCCATTCCAACCTGATTTTTCTGAATATCCCAATGTTCTCTATTTTTTTTTATAATTAAGTTTGAACATGATACTTTAGCTTTAAATGTACAAAATCGCATGTTTTATTACAACCTGTGAACTTTAATTATTTTTATTTTTATATATATGAAAAACTTGGATATTAGAGATGTTCTAAAGATGAAACAAAAAATTTTAATAAATAAAACCTTAAAAAAGTGGAGACACAGAATTTAAAAATTATATAAGTATACTTGATTTAATAAAAAAAGTAATAATATAAACGAAGTTCTTGATTTTTGTAATCCGAGTCAATTTTTCTGACATTGACGTTTTAAAATTGATATTTAAATGATAGTAAAGATGTGAAATTACAATAAATATCTACGTTATGTGGGAACAGTTTTCTGACAAATTTATGTCTATATTAAAACAATTTTTATTTGAGGGTGACTCGTCATTCTACTGTGGTCGGCTGGCAAAGTCGCTAACGTTTTTCATAGCCATCTACCACCTCTGCAGTGCACTATAGTACAGAAGCCCGCTATTTTGTCCAAAATTATTTTATATTCCGAAGCTGAATTAACTTATTTGTTTTAATATAATTTGTTTCTTAAACACTGTCTGAACAACATTTAAACATTTTAAAGGGGCCGCCTACAACAAATTTATATCATTTTTGATAATGATACTTTAAAATCTAAGATCAGTTAAAAGTATCATGTGTAGGTACTATGTACTATGAAAAAAACGCATAGGTTTCAATTAAGTCAAGACTCATTGCGAATGACAAAAGTTATTTGGGTGACAATTTTTTCCACATTTAACAATGTTATAACAAAGTAAAGGTCACTCAATAATGTAAAAATAAATTATGAGACACAAAAAAGATAAACGCAGAAACTTGTATTAATTAATACTTAAATGTACAAAGAATTCAACTAAATATTTCGTACTTCGCTGTCTAACTCTAAACTGTCTAATTCGTAACCCAGAAAGCTTTCTAAATTCAAAGCATTTGATTGTGAATTATCTGTTGTTATATTTAAATTTTCAGGTTGGGCATATGATTCCAGCAAGTTAAGAACTTCTTCCTGTATTTTTTTAATTTTAAGTTTTAACCTTTGCGACTGAAGTGACAAAGATCATATTAGAGGATCTGATGTATCTAATGCTCTTTGGAAAATGTCTTTTAAGTTAACTGAGCTGTTTTTTCGGCCATGATATTCTCTGTTTTGTTTATAAATTTTTTCTTGATTCTGATGCCTCTTCTCCCTACCCATCTGGTAAAATGCATTTTTCCATTATTTGTTTATTATGTATAAGAAATTTATAAATAGATGCGGGCATCGGAAACCATGGATAAAGTTCCATGAAAATATGGTTTCGAAAAAGTAGATTTCAAATTTATTCAAATTTAATGGAAGTTGACATGTCATTGAGATCAGTATTATCCAAAAGCGTTTAATTAAATTACAGGAAACCCCAGTAATATCTGAAAACAAATCATAATTTGAAAATGCTCTTCTAGTGATATTTCCGTCGTTAGTAGACTCAAAGCCATTAGATTTTGGTTTATCGACATGTAGGCTTAACTTTTCCCAAAACAACCTTTGCACATTTTTTTTTTTTTTTCTATTCGGCAAATGCAGCTTTATTTGTCTCGCCCCGAACTTGCCAGCAATGAAGTGGAATGATACCGTACTAAAGCGCACTTTCTTTGGGTTTAGATATATCGGACATAAAATCGGTGATAGTTAAAAATTTAGGAGGAGTAGCCCCGCATATTGGACATGCCTGACTCGATTTAGTTCCAGTTAGGGTACTTAAAACTTATGATATGATGGTAAAGCAGAGATGAAAAGCAACTATTACTTGACATCCATTTACTGTGAATTCAAATGGTTTATGATTTTGAATTTTCTTCTTTGAGCTATTTTTTGATTCATGATATGTTCTTTTGTTTCTTTCGCATATTGAAGTTTCATTGGTCTACAAAATCTTAGCGACTGAAGAGTTAATTTATTCCAAATAACAATACCATTACTCGTAGTCAGTCTTCTATCTATCTTTCTATCTGAATTAGGGCGTGGTTCAAAGCCCACTTGTACTGCAGCTCTAGGCTTATTGTACCCCTCACAGTTTCTATCCCATCAGATTGATTTTCTTGATGAATTCAAGAATATGTCTGATGGGCGCTTTCGCGATTTCTTCAGGTTCCGGATATTGTACCCCGAGGTACCATTCCCGTTCCCATTTAAGATTCCGACAGTGGCATAGTATGTGAATAGGAGTTTCGTCCTCCTCTTCACATATTCTACATAGGGAGTCATTAGATATCTTTAAGAGATTTAGGTGTCTTCTAAGGCCGCATTGTTCCGTAAGGAGTCCTATTACGGCCTTGAGTTCGCTTCTGCTAAGGTTTAGCAGTTGATGTTGTCTGCTCGTGGATGGCCCCTCTATGAATCTTTTGGACTGTCTAAGTCCAGGAAGTTCCATCCAGAGCCTATGGTGTTCTCTTTTTATTTGTTCCTTTAACACCCATTTAACATGTTGGTATGAGATACTACACGTGGGTTCTGGTCCAATAAGAGTTTTTTCCGCTCCCTTCCTTGCTAGGAGATCTGCTTTCTCATTTCCAAACACTCCCTCATGTCCTGGCACCCATTCAAGGGTGACCTTGTTATGTTCTGCCAGGGCCTGGAAGGACTGTTGGCAATCAAATATTGATTTAGATTGTACTTCTACCCTTTTCAGTGCTTTAAGGGCTGACTGTCTGTCATGATAACGATAATCTTATCTCTAAGAGAGTCATTTAGCATGACTTTGGCGCAGGCATTTATTGCTGTTACTTCAGCCTGGAAGACTGTTGTCCGTGACCCCAGGTTCAAACTAATTGTCATCCCTGAGTTCACATGGTAGATCCCAACAACTGTGCTGTTTTTCATTTTTGAACCGTCTGTATATACCAGATTGATTCGTTTTGTTTTTCCCTATTTTCCCGGCTTTTGACCCTTTCTGGTATTTGAATAGCAAAAGGTTTCCTGAAGTCGTGAATAATGGGCGTTCTATCTGATGGCATTCCTAGTAGCGGATTTTGTTTTAATTTCTCTAATATCATTGTGTGGTGTCTTTTTCTCGAAAGTTCCCATCCAAATCCATTAGTAAACAGCCTGTATGCCGCCGCCATAGCCTCGTTCTCCACCATCTTCCTTATCTTCATCTTACATATGAAAATTCGGTTTGTGGTATAAGGCAGAAGATCCTGAAGTGGTACTTTTACCAAATTTTCAGTAATTTCGATACTATCTGGGCGACATTCTGATTTAGCTTCTAAAACTTGCTGGTAGGACGGGTATATCACAATTTCTTTTCACTGCTCAGTCGGATACTGCTGCTTAGTAAATCTGTTGTCGAGTAGAAATGATAACGCTTCTTGAGAGGTGTGTAATTGGATCCTTGGCTTTGGTCTTGGCAGAAAATAACACTTTTTTAATTTAGAAGACTTTTAGTAGTTTCACATTTCCACTGGCTGTTGCAGTAGCTATAGCGGCACTTACAATTAAACTGGAATCGTGTTCATTCTCCCTCGACAATTTCAAAGCATCTCGTTTTTGTGACTTTAGACTTTTGTCGGAAAATAGCAATTTTGGCCAACATACTAGTGTTGATCGTAGGATCAACAAATTATTATTTATAATTGTTTGTGTCTCTCTACTTTTCTCAAAGATCGTATAGCCTTGGAGCTATCCTTTGAATTTACTCAATAAAGCTGATTTATTTCTGTCAACTTTGGACCATTTTCAACTGTTTTGAGAGTTTTTGGTTAAATTGCAAGAAGATAAAGTAGTAAAAATATTATTATAATTTAATTTTTACCCCCAGACAATTTTAAAGTCAAACTCGTGCTACAAACTTCAAGAATTTCATACAGACAATTGCAAAATATATGAATAACTAGCTAAACAATTTTCAAGACAGAAAAATGTTTCAAATAAATATCAGAATACCCGTCATGGGTAAAGTTGTAAAGCCAAAAAACCCTATTTACGCGCTGATACGCAATTTTTTTTAGAAAATAAGTCTAGGTTTCAAAGAAATAAAAAACGCCCATATTAGATTAGATCCACAGATCTGTGATTAGATCTGACACTTTTTTGTATCTTTATTTTTAGTTAATAAATTACAAAAAAGAGATCATATACTAGATTTTATAATGTATTTTACATAAACAAATTAACCTTACCTTGGTCAATATTGGCCATTATCAAAATTCATCAAAAAAATAATCGTTTTGATATTGCACATTTACAAACTTCACCTACAAACTGTTAAGCCGGGCTCAAACCACTCGTGTAATTGGCAAACACACAATTATTTGCGTTCTTGGCAAGTATACGAGTTTTGCGAATTGCGATGGCAAGCAGGGCGCTCATACGACGTGTGCAATTTCCAAGTACACGAGTCGTTTGAGCCCGGTTATAGACAAGTATGTACTTGGCAAGAGTACGAATAATCGTGATCCCTTTGACTCGGGCCATTTTTACCGATCACAAATGGAAAACCAACGAGTGACAAATAATTGTACAAGTAACCCACTCACACGACATGGCAAGTATACGCAAGTAACGATTTTTCGCCAAGTACACGAGTCGTTTGAGCCCGGCTTTAGAATAAACAAAAATGACAACTTTCGCTTGTCTTGGCGCTCACTCTACGATATTTGAGTGAAATTTTTGTAGAATAATATGAGCTGATGATTTGTCAAATGAATTATGCTACTAATGTTGTCAAATTATTTTCATTATTTAATTTTGGGCAGATTGAGGATCTCCTGTACCATAGTGCAGTGGCGTAACAATGATTCGCGATAAAATTATAATATTGTATAAGCTTTAATCGAACCTATTTTATTGATTTACGTTAAATATTGCTCAATCTACTTTA